CCAATAGTCCGAAAAATACGGTATTTTATTCTAACATTTAACTTTATTTTTAAGTTTTAGGATTCATTCAATTTCATTATTGATTATAATTTTGCAGAGGTGATTTTTATTTTGTATTCTGTGCTGTACTTTGGCAGTCAAGACGTGGTATAAAGTATTAAATAATGAAATGTTCATGACTGCAGTGGATACCAAATGAAAACTGCATTGTATTCTGCATGAGCTAAGAGGAAGGCACGTTTGGCAAATCCTCACCATGATCAACTCCTGCCCAGAAACCTATGTCCTCACTGTTGAAAGATTTGCAGCTCCAGAATTGGCCTCCACAGTCACTTACGGACACACTGTTAAGACCATATTCATGGAAAACAATCTTATTTGGCTACGAGTGATCTCCAAAGAACAACAACATGGGAAACCTAAGGCAACCAACTGCCTGTTAGTTGGACTTAGAATTTACAAGATTTGGGGGGAAATTCATCTAGCCTTTTCATTTCTCTCTACATGTTGATTCTCTAAGAGTACTGCCACTGGATTTTTCAATATACAGTACCTTTATTAAAGGCATCCAAGAGCAAAATGAGAAAAACAGTATTTCTCATTAGGCTAATGTAAATCCACAAGGTAGACTAAGGGGCACACAATGCCAACTCTTAATCTTAACCCAAAATTACAATTAACCACAAAGCAATGCCTTTCTCCAAATCTTATCTACAGAAATGATTCAGATCACAGGAAAGCTTGCAGAATGGCAAGTGTTCAGACAGAGCCTGAGGCTTTGCTAATTACCTGATATATCTACTACTTTGATAGCAGCAGCCTGAGGGAACTTTTCTTTAAGTACTTGTGCCACCCTGATTTCTCCCTCCGTCTGTGAAGCAAAGGTTCGCACTATATTGCGCAGAAGAAAATGGACCTGATGAGAAATGGAAAGAGTTTGTGTTAGTTGGGATATCATCAGAATAAAGCCAACTATAATAATGGCAAAGGATGTAAACGTCCCTATGGGAACATGGGAAGCTGCCACCACCTGAGTCACACCTCACCTGGCTCTGTATTGCCCACAATGACTGGCAGTGGTTCTCCAGCGTTTCAGCCCCAAATCTTTCCCAACCTTACCTAGAAATGCTGGGGACTGAACCTGAGACCTTCTGCATGCTAAGGGCATGCTCCACCACTGTAAAAGGTAAAGGTAAAGGTACCCCTCCCCGTACGGGCCAGTCTTGCCAGACTCTAGGGTTGTGCACCCATCTCACTCTATAGGCCAGGGGGCCAGCACTGTCCGCAGACACTTCCGGGTCACGTGGCCAGCGTGACATCGCTGCATCTGGCGAGCCAGCGCAGCACACGGAAACGCCGTTTACCTTCCCGCTAGAAAGCGGTCCCTATTTATCTACTTGCACCCGGGGGTGCTTTCGAACTGCTAGGTTGGCAGGCGCTGGGACCGAGCAACGGGAGCGCACCCCGCCGCAGGGATTCGAACTGCCGACCTTTCGATCGGCAAGCCCTAGGCGCTGAGGCTTTAACCCACAGCGCCACCCGCGTCCCTTGCTCCACCACTGACAATCCCCTAAATCACAATGGCACACACAATAAAATAAAATGCCTGGCTCTTGCTCTCCCACAAGTTATTCCGCACTGGGATCCCGACCATAGCTGTCAACTTTTCCCTTTTCTTGCGAGGAATCCTATTCGGAATAAGGGAATTTCCCTTTAAAAGGGGAAAAGTTGACAGCTATGATCCCTACCAAGAATAAACCAGAAACGCGACGCAGAATAAACCAGAAACTCGGGGGGGGCGGGGAAGGGGGGAACCATGCGCAGCGTCAGGCAGCAGCCTCCCCAAGCCCGAGCCTTATTGCCCGGGGGCGGGAAGGCAAAGGAGGCGCTCTCCTCGTCCTTGGGGCGACTGCGCTGCTCCAGAGCCGAGGGCGTCGGGGGCCCCACACCGCCTGGGCCGGCGGGGGCCGAGGAGCGGGCTTGGGCGGCGCTGCCCGGCCCCCCCCCCCCGCTCCAGGGCCTCCGGCGAAGAGCGCCGCCAAGGAGGCCGCAGCTCTCCGCCCACAGATCACCGACCTTCCCCCGACAAGCGGCCATCCTCGCTACGGCGGCAGCCATCGCGCCGTTGCGTCAGAGGGGAGCGCGTCTTGGAGGCGCTGGAAGATGACGTTCGGCGCGTGCGCCGTGCAGCTGGGTTTCTCCTCTCGGCTCTTCTCAAGAGCACAGAGTTAGGAAACGGGTAGAGTCGCAATGCCGCCCCTTCTTCCGGCTCTCCCAAGAGCATAGAGTTAACAAGGGAAAGCTCGGAGCAGAAGGTTCTCTCCCCTCCGCCGAAGGAGAGGCCACCACCTTCCAGGCGGTCCTACTCCATATACTCAGTCGGCGGAACTGGCTCTGCCGCTGGTGCCACGTGGGGCCTCCACCTTGCAGGGCGGCAACACCTGCACGTTGGAACTCCCCGCCTATTGACATGAGGCAGGTGCCTTCACAGGGTGCTTGCCAGAGCCTGCTAACAAAACGTTTTTGTTGAGACAAGCCTACGCAGATGCTTGGGACGCGGGTGGCGCTGGGGGTTAAACCACAGAGCCTAGGACTTGCCGATCAGAAGGTTGGCGGTTCGAATCCCCACGACGGGGTGAGCTCCCGTTGCTCAGTCCCTGCTCCTGCCAACCTAGCAGTTCGAAAGCACGTCAAAGTGCAAGTAGATCAATAGGTACCGCTCCGGCGGGAAGGTAAATGGCGTTTCCGTGCGCTGCTCTGGTTCGCCAGAAGCGGCTTAGTCATGCTGGCCACGTGACCCGGAAGCTGTACGCTGGCTCCCTTGGCCAGTAAAGCGAGATGAGTGCGCAACCCCCGAGTCGTCCACGACTGGACCTAATGGTCAGGGGTCCCTTTACCTTTTTACCCAGATGCTTGGAAAGTTGGTGCATGTTTTAATGTTTTCAGTCTACAGTTGTTTTAAACTTTAAAGTCTTAAATTATGGTTATTATTCTTTCTTATTGGTGATTTTTCTTGTATCTTTTTGCCCGGGGGGCGGGAAGGCAAAGGAGGGGCTCTAACCATTAAAACTGCTTTAACCATTCAAAAAAAACCAAATAAACCAGCGTATACATTTTATGAAATAAACTGTGGTTGCTGCAACACTAAAAGATCAATTTCTTGCAAGTTCGGAATGAAATTCTGGGAGCGCTGTTGTGCCCTGAGAGCACAAGCCCACAGCACTCTGCATGCATTAGGTAGGTTGTGTCCGTATATGTGCGAAGTCTCCAAATTTTCCTATTTCATTTAGGGAACAGGCAACCTGGCTCATTAAGGCAACAGGAGAATGTTAGCTTTGCTTTTAAGGCTTCCTTGATCCTCATTTGTTAGGCTACAGCACCCTCTTGTGTCTTCGTGCAGTCCCTGCACCCTCCTATGATTTCCCCCCTGCACCAACTTCAAAGCAAGACCTCGGGGTCAAGGCGGTGAAGATGCCAGCCAAGTGCATGGCAGCAACTGTGAAAAAAGTGCATCCCATCTTGAGGATCGCAAAACTTTAATCAAAATGTATCAAAAGATCTGCAATGAGTAACCTAGCAATACTGTCCATGGAGAGAGCTTTCAATGTAGATTTCAAGACTGTTATTGAAAAAGTTGCACAAATTTAAACCAAGCGATTTTTAATACATTTAAGTATACTATCATTAAATGCATCTTGCTTTAATTACATCAGTATTTTCTTAAAATACAGTGCATGTGCTTGGGGGCAAGAAGGGGTTCAATACTGGACTGGTGGAAGGGACTCAGGAAGTGCTAACGGTCCACAGGTTAGAGGTGCAATGCTTGCTTTGCCCTGGGCATTGGCAATCCACACTATGCCCCTGCCCAGAGAGTCACTCTCCAAGCCCAAGGCAGAGGGAGATTGCTGGGGTAGCCCTAATTATCACCTGACTGAGAAAGAGGAAGGCAGTTTGTGTGTATGTGACACAGAGGAAAACAGGCATTGGACTTTGCATCACAGGCATACTTTAGGCTCCCTAGCGCCCTTGGCAAGGAGCTGTATCAGCACCCACCCCCAGTCCCTTATGCTCCTCCACCAAGGTGGCCAGAGAAGACTGCACTCCTCAGCCAGCCGGCCAGCCAGCCAGAGCAGCAGCTCAGAGAGTCTGCTAAGCCAGAGTGCAGAGGCATGATTTTTCCACCCCCTGGGGTAGAGGCGGGTTTAGGGCAGCACAACTGGTTTCCCTGCACTGAACACTGAGCCGGGGGGCGCGCACTGCAGGGTGTCACAATGAAGACTCGGTGGACATGCCCAGGAAAACTAAGTGTGTCCAATGCTGTTTTAGACCTCCGTAATAGGAAACTTGGGACGCGGGTGGCGCTGTGGGTAAAAGCCTCAGCGCCTAGGGCTTGCCGATCGAAAGGTCGGCGGTTCGAATCCCCACGGCGGGGTGCGCTCCCGTTGTTCGGTCCCAGCGCCTGCCAACCTAGCAGTTCGAAAGCACTCCCAGGTGCAAGTAGATAAATAGGGACCGCTTACTAGCGGGAAGGTAAACGGCGTTTCCGTGTGCGGCTCTGGCTCGCCAGATGCAGCGATGTCACGCTGGCCACGTGACCTGGAAGTGTCTCCGGACAGCGCTGGCCCCCGGCCTCTTGAGTGAGATGGGCGCACAACCCTAGAGTCTGTCAAGACTGGCCCGTACGGGCAGGGGTACCTTTACCTTTAATAGGAAACTAGCCAAATGAGTTGAGCAAGCAGTCCAGCCACATTATTCTGTGTATCAGGAAGGGTGAAGGACAGGCATCCCACATGCCCATTGTTGTCCATGAAGGAGGACCACGCAGTTAAGTGAGTGTCAGCATGGCCAGGGCAGGATTCTGTCCTCTGAGGCCCAGGGCATAAGGCAGATGGCAATTCGGCCTGATGACTTGCATTACTACTGCAATACCATTTAAATGTAATGTGAGAAGAAATCTTAAGCTTGGATGATGGAGAGGGAAAAAACACACAGAATTTGAGTGCAAAAAATAAATATAAAATTTATTAAAACACCCACAATAGTTTAAAGATATCGGGAATAATACATTTCACAAACCAGTTGGTTGTGTAACATAATAAAATACAAATTAAAAAAAAGGAGGGTCCATATTTGCAATTTTTAGGCATCCTAAAAATAAATTTTCAGAGACACTGAAGGGAGAAGTGTGAAAGGGAAAAAAATACAGACAAGAGGGGGAAATTATACAAAATAAAATTATCAGCATAAATTTACCATACTAAGGATATCTACAGTTTAATACACAAGTCCTATTGCCTTGAGACATTGTAAAATCTACCATTTGTCAACCAACCCCAGATAAACTTCATTTCAAGTAGCCACAGTCACAAATCAACAAAGAAATCTTCAAGTGTGGTCCACAAGGTGGCCTCCACTGGAGGTCTCGTTTACCAAATGTGAATTCAAAGAGACAAGAAATCAAATACGTTGAGAAGTTACAGCCTTCGGTTAACTAAACTGAATTAGTCTGCCAAATCCAACCTTGTTTCTTTTCCTCATTTCTCTTAATTTTTTTTAAAAAAAATGTATTTAGAAGTCAGCTTTATACCTTTTTAATTAGTTTTACACGCAAAAAGAAAACAAAAAGCCAAAAGCCAGCTGGACAGCAGACGTTACCCAAAGATTGAACAGCAGTGAGTAAACTCTAAACAACAGGTGTCAAAAAGGAGGAAAAGGATGGCAAACAAAAATCACTTGTAAAATATATCCCTGATATTGGAGCAGAAGAGAAAATTGGCCAATTTGCTTTACTATTCTTAGGCAAAAAAGAGAAACGACAATTCACATCTTGACCCATGAAATATTCTTAATGCAGGCAAGACTCTTGCTGCATTCCACAGAGAACTGCCTTCCTAAGAGAATACAGGAATGTTGCTCTTTGCTAGTTACCATAAGATTAATAATTTGCTGTCTGGAAAAACAAGACACACACTGTCCATGAAGTGGTATAACGCTAAGAGCAATATGCCGGGGATCTGTCCCAATCTAGCACCAACATTTCATCTTTGCCCCTGGAATCTGTTTCTTAGTCCACCCAGTGTTGTCATTTCTGCATTTTCAAAACTACTTAGTGGAGTAATCTAACTGGATGGCATATTTGAAAAAAATAATGCACTTTTTGCTGGCGGGGGGAGGGGGTGGTGATGAATAAATATATTGAATAAACCTCATTGGAAACCTTTGCAAATTCTGCAAAGAGTTTGAGAACATTCTATTGGGGCAGATTTTTTTTAAACCAAACGTGCAGAAACTATTATTTGATTACTGATAATATAGCTGCTTAAGATCTTATTTCTAAAAATGCTTTCCCATGTGGGCCATACGATGTTCTGAGGTACTTCAGTAAAATCTACTGTTCACTGAAATGAAAGCACCACTCTCCCATTTCACCTTTTTATTAGTTCTGTACACTGATTCCTCATTATGTTTCATTATTTTGAAAGTGAGAACTTGCCCAAGAATAGAACTACAAAGGCCATACAGTTTATAAGATGTCAAGTACAGTGTTGACGTAATAAAATACACACCTTGTTTCTAATATTTGTATCAATCCCATTAGCTATAACTGAATCACAGGTTGCCACAATACTCTGTTTCTGAGGTATTTTTTGTATGTATTGTGATAACAGCAAGCTTATTATATGATGAAAACCTGGCTTCTGTACACACTTAAAACAAGTCTTGTGAACAAAAAGAGAGAGAGAAAGTGAGAGAGTGAGAGAGAAAATAAATAGCACCAAAAAGGTATCTTGTAAAACTTTCAGACACAACTACTCACAAATAGCAATATACAAAGAAAAAGCCATCATAAAGTAGCAGAATGAAGCAGGCATTTTAGACGAAAGGGTAGCAAATCCATGTGTGGCCAGACCCTGGTTCCCTTCTCCACTATGAACCTTCAATAGGCTGGGTCCGTTTTCAATATTAACATCTATAGAATAAACCTGTTTACACTGAGATGCAGATGTGGTCCAAGAAGGATTTTTCCTTGGTTAAGGAATGCAGTCATAACTTTTTGCTGTTAACTATAAAAGCAAGCAAGCAAGCAAGCTGGAGAAGACGCAACTACATTGCTTTATAAATAGCTGCTCTGTCTTGGAGTGACCTCAAAACTTCCAATTCAGCACCCATTGTTTTTGCATAATAATGACCAATACAGAATGTTACATATACCTGCACCATGCACACTTGCTAAATTGGCACAAGTGTTATCTCAAAGTAGTTTGTAGTACCTTATTTTCCAGCTGCTTAAGGAAAGCATTTTAAATTTTACTTATTCATAGTTAAACTTCCTTTGAGCTTGATCCCAGAAGCCCTTTTCACTGGTGGTAGTTTTGCCAGCACCTGATTCCATTGAGCGAAGTAGGACTAGTAAAAAGATTAACTCTCAGCATCTGATCCTAAGCTGTGCTGCTCCATTTATATCAGCTAAGGATCTAGCCCTAGGATGTGGATAGTTGTCATTTATACCAAAGTAACCTCTGCTGGATCTACAATGTAAATGAGCTAAAAATTATGTAGCTGTAAATTTCAGACTCAGAGCATAGACTTTAAAAAAAACACACATGTATTTAAAACATTGAAACTTTCTATTATCAGTTAACTGTACAGTTCTCTGGTTTGACATATACTGTAGCACCATAGCAAGATGGAATCTGGCAAAAGCAAACAAGCCCAAACACCCTTTTTTAAAACAAACCCACCAAGATAGCACCATTTCATCAGAAGATTTCGGTTATTAAAATTTGTGTCTTTAGCCTACGGTGCAGACATTGCATCAGCTGAAGCAACTCAGGGCTTCTTTGCTCATTTTTCTCTCTCTTTGCCTTTCTATGGGACACAGTTACAACCTATGATAAATAGAAAGAAGGGAGCTCTCTAACTCTACTGATATATTGGGATAACCTCGTGTCTCACTGATGCAGCTCCTCAACTGTCTGCTAACCAGAGACAGCAACACAACATTCCTGTTACACACACACAAAAGTTCATAGCAAGTTCACAAGCAATGAGCCTTTTTGTCACCTTCCCAAACTGGACCCCCTGTATGCAGAATTGTTCCTTTGCCTTCTATACTGTTTGGTCCATGCATTTTTTTCTTCATAAATAATTATTTACCATGATCTGCCTGAGCTCTTCATTAACCCAGAAGAGTAAGCGCCCCAAAGGAAATATTTTTAAACAGATGGCGCTCACGGTGGCCCAGTAGCTCAGCAAAGCATACAGAGGAAATAAGAATCCACTTAAAGAAGGGACCTTAACCAACCCAAATTTCTCCCAGAGAAGTTTAAGGGGAGTTTGCTAATAACTTCAGCTGGAGCACCACTGAATCCCTTTTTCAAGATTTTTTCCCCAGGGATTACAGTTTCGTTTGTAATTTTAGCACCATCAGCTATTATGATTGAGGGTTAGTTGCTGTTAACTTGTTTCATGTCACTACCCCCCAAAAATACATTTCAAAGAAATTTCTCACTACCGTCCTGCAGAAGTTGCTTTGCCTTTGAGAAGGGCTGCAGTCAGGATTCATGATTTCTGATGCTCAAGGCCCTGGTGGTCTTGGCTTCCCGCAACTCATAATAGGATGTTCAGTGGGCATATAGAGATGTACGCGCTAAGGCAGCCTTAGTTTCGTGCTCTCCAAATGTTGCTGAACTCCGACTCCCATCACCTATGACCATGGACTGTGCTGGCTGGGGTTGATGGGTCCTTCAAGGGCACCAGACTAGGGAAGGCTGCTCTATGCAACAAACAGCATAATTAAGCTCACAAATGTTGCTGCAGATTGAGGGAGACCTGCCATAATGGCACATCCAACTTCCTATGACTGAGAAGTGTAATCATTTTTTAGCACTACCCCATTGGCTTTAGTATGGTCGGGCCAACGTGGTGCCCTTAAGACACCTTTTACAAGCACCTTTGTAAATAAATGCATATCTGTTTCCATTTACTTTTCTAAATGACCCTGACCACAACAGGAGCTGTAATTGTCCATGTGCAAGCAAAAAGATGACTGCCAAATAAAATAATTCTTTCCCCCCCTCCTTTTTTTTAAAGCAGGAGTAGATAATCTGTGCACAGTTCTATTCATAAATCTGAGGCATGGTAACTTTTCCCAACAACTGAGATTCGAGGTAGGTTATATACGTAGTGAGAAACAACCTCAGATTGCACCCTACTCGTAAATATGTACTCGTAAGTACATCACTTTATCCAGGATTTTGAGAGTCAGGAGTTTTGCCTTTACTTCTAGCAGCCTTGTTTTAAAGTGTGCATATAACGTATGTGCTGCAGAAAATGATGGTGGCATTAACATAATGCTGCTATAGATTTAATACTGCCATTGCCAGAATCAAATAGCATGTGGATTGCCTGCTATCTGCACCAAGATCAACCAATTATACTGGGAAACACCTGGCACAATGGGTTTGGAGAGCCAGATTTTTATTTTTATTTTTTAAAAAGAGAGAGAATCTCAGTCCAAAAGTCTTAGAGAAACCCATCTAAGATGAAGCAAATGAGAATTTTGCCTTAGACACACAATTTCAATAGGAACAATTATTCCAGTTTTATTCACTCTGGACTTGCGTCAGTGTGAAGGGAAAGCACCATTTGGTCCTTTGGATTATTTGTGTGAGACAAATAAAGGACTTGCCCTGCCAATTTGTTTTTCTCCTTTTCTCTATTCCTATTGTGGAAAAAAACAGTGGAAATGGACACAGGCAAATTTTGAATAATTCATGGGTCTTCTTGCGTTGCCACCTTCGGTCTCCCAAAACAGCTCCTGTTCTTGCCTCTACAAAAAGGTATTTCCCTCATCCAGAGATCTTAAGGGCACCATTGCTAGGTCAGAAAGTTACAGCTTCAGAGCCGCATTATGCCATGATCAGACACCTCAGAAAAATCCCTAAACGGAAGCTGAAACACAATAGGATTTCAACAGGTCAGATGCACAGCCACACCTCCCTTCCCACATATATTACAATTTCTTGCTCTCCAAAGTCATGCAAATGAAGCTTCCAAGGCACCCCTGCAACACCTTTAAAATAGGAAAGTCAAATGAGACGTTAACAAGGAAATTACAGAAACAAAAAAACCAAACTAAAATGTTTTTGGAAAGAGATACAAGTCCAATGCTTTCCCCCAACTACAGCCGGCTAACGGATCCATCCTACATTAGCCAATAGCAAGCAGCCATTGGCCTAAAAAGCCTGAGAAGATGGAATATGTGGTGATTTAACTGAGGGCTGGAGCGACATGCTTATGCAGAGACCTCCTGGATTTGGACCACATCAGACTTCAGATAGCAGACGCCTCAACATTAAATAGAAATAAACAACCCTCACTGCATGCAGAAATCTAAAATAACAGAGAGAAAGCTGTTCCACTTTGTGTAGTTGTTTATGGGGTGAGGGACCACGTGAATCTTTAAAGAAATGTGATTTTCCCACCTGAAGCCTGAAGTGGTATAATCGAGGCAGGCCTACTAGTCCATGATTCGACAAACATGTAGAATGGCCTTCAGAGCAGCCCCACTGAAATCAATGGCTGATTTACAGAAGTGGAGGATCGGGCCTTGCATGGGACGACATCACTATCATCCTATGACATTCAGAACATTTCCTATAAATCTGACTTGGAACAATTCTTAACAAGCACGATACGCTCATGGGTATGCATATGAAATCAATTATCATTCATTGATTTTCCCCTTGCCAAAAAAAAAAAAAAGCATCTTTACAGAATACAGTAAAAACAAAAAAGGACGGAAAAGCATGTTAAATATTTTGTTTCTATTTACATTTCTCCCGCAATAATCTGTTTTAAAACATACTGCTCTTCAAGTTATTGGGTAATTTTTTTTCTTTTAAATCTTGGTGAAAGTGCTTTTTTAAAAAAATCTTTCTCTATTTACAGTTTAAAATCAGAACCACATAAAACACTCAGGATGCTGTATAGAGATCCTGTTTTTGTTTTTGTTTTTTCCTGTTCCAGCGCGTGAGGATTGAGAAGGTTCCCTAGTAAACAAAATGCTATGTACAGGTTTTAATTTGCAAGCCGTTGTTTTTTTTTCTCAAAAGGCACCTGTTAAGTGCAGAAGGAGGTGGCCAAGGAATAATCAGTTTCAGATCTCGAACGTGTTTGATCTTTTGGCCTTCTGCAGTGTTGAGAAATCGCATGCACAGGCTTATCAAAGCCATAGGGGACCTACTCTGCTGAAGGAGTCAGACCTCCCAATTTTTCTACAGAAAGACCCGTAGTATAAGGCAGCAAAATACTCTTGCACCCATTGCCAAAAGAGTTGCCGCCACCCAATCTGAAGATGGCACCCATTTTGAGGAGACGCTTTGAAGGTGCTGCCTCAAGGCTGGAAGGTTCTACCCCCAATTCCAATGGAAGTTCATGGAGATTTTCTGAGCAAATTTAGTGAGAGCACCTAAAGCCCAGCAGGGACTGCACCATTAACATTCTCCCAGTAAAGGATGAAATTCACACAATATGGAAAAGAACCACAGACACAAACTTCCTCTTACACAACACTTCTGTCCTTGAGCCCTGTCCTATTAAGATTTTTTAAATAAAAACAGCAACAACAACAACCAACCCTGATATAAGTAAACTTTTTGGTGTAGTTTAAATAGTACAAGGGTTCTGAATTAGAGTGAATTTCATCCTAATTTAGGGAAGATTTCCTATCATCATTTTAGCAACACAATGCTTCTGTCAAGGGGAAGCCTGGCTTCAGAAAGTGTAGCCACTTACGTGAATCAGCTATTCTTAAGACAACTTGCATTACTGATGGGGAAAGAGAGGTTAACCTTAAAAAGTTGTGATTCAAAGTTTTAAAAGCACCAGCTGTTTTGCAGTAATCAGTTATCACATAACGTTGATATTTCCTCTTTAAAAAATGGCACAAGAAAAATAAAATAAAACTTACAATAAGCCAATTTCATTTTTGCATTTGAAAATGTCCACGTGTAAAGGTTGGTGTGTGTGTGTGGACATTTTCATTTGGTAAGCATGCACCTTTTGAAAACACAGCACAAAGGAGATCTACTGTGTCCTTCCTTTTCATTGGACTCTGCACCAGAGATGATTAAAAAGAGGTTCGCCATGATGGTTTCTTAAAGATACAGGAGCTCAGCCCGAGATTCAGAATAAAAGTTTCAAAAGTGAGGAGGACATCAGTTCGAAATAGTCAGGCCTAGCCTACGGGAAAATTAAGTGTGGATGGTTACACTGTATGATAAATTTGGCAAGAACCGAAACATTGCTAAGTGCTATTCTGTGAGTCCCACAGAGTGAGAGACATGAAAATCAAAAGGTCACCTCCTGGGCAAACACAGCACCTTCCAAATATTGTTTTATGATGCTTCACTTCTACCCAGTCCTCCCCACCTCCCCTTCCACCTCTTCTCCTTAAATCTGTCCTTTTCTCAGTTCCTTCCTTCATGAATTTAACTGGGTAAGATATTTATGCCAAAACAGTTAATGGAGAAGTTAAACTAGCTTAATTTTACACAGGCTGCACAGCCGCTGCCTCTTGCCTTGGCAAAAGAACTTCATTCCAGAACTTGCCTTTAAATAAAAACGTAACCACATGCAGTGGCAGAAATAATATCTTTATCTTCATTCTTTTCATTTCCACCTCCTCTGAAACTGGTTAAAGTTAGGCCACAAGCTCACAGCAAACCTGACTTTGCAGTGGTTTACACGACATAATTTTTACACAGACAGCAACGTGTGCCAGCTGCACTCATGCCAGAGGACTGGTACTCCCCTGAGATGCTCTAGGCAGACTCAGTTGTCTTGAGGATTGAAACAGGCAAATTGGGACACCTTTTTACAGCTCTCCCACTGTGTGAATCCATCTATTCTGTTGGGGGCCCCTCCCAAGTTAAGAGAAGTGTCACACAAAATTTTATGCTCTGTTCAAAACCAATGAGGTGGAAACTGTTGCCTATTTGTAGTCTCTTGTCTTCTCTACTTAATTCTTCCACCAACCTTTTTCCTTCCTGGAAGAGATCTACTAAATCTCTAAGAAACCATCACACAGCAAATTATACAATTACTTTAATTGTAAGTCTTGGTTTCTGGGAGGTATCTAAAGTGAGATTTCTACCCCACTTGGATGTGATGGATGGTGCAGATTCTTATTGGCTTAGGGTGCAGCTGAGTTTTAAATTTTGCTTCTATGTCACATAATCCCCTTCAGAGTTGTAATAATTTCTGTTTAAAAATCCAATATACACATGTGTATTTGGAATGGAATTAAAAAGCTCTCCTTTGCGAAAGGACACTACAAATTTCTCTTGCCATTATCATGATGTACAGATTAAAAATGCACAGATATAAATATTTTTAGATTACTGAAAAATGTTAACAGCAATAAGTTTCTTCAGCTCAACTCCCAAGTGCAGATAATATACTGGAAATGTCACACTTGGCCTGGCTTCGTATTTCTCTCCGACACACGAAGGAAAAAGCACCACAAACCAGCACTGTGTTCCAGTGCTGCAGACTTTGAGGTAAAATGGCCCCATGCCAGCTGCGCTCTGCTCAAATCCAGCGACTGTACGGCCCAGTTACCTTGGTGTAGGCATAAGAGGACACAGTGATAGCTGAGTTTGTTGGGATAGCCAGGGCCTGCCGGGTTGGGACAGTATCTTTCTTCTCCTTCTGCTGGGGCTCAGTGGCCAAGCTGCCTCCCCATTTTCGCTTCTTGCCAAAGGCTTTGATGTCCTGCTGGAGCCCAAGCCTGGCTGCCTCCTCCTGCCTCGCCCGGGCTCTCTCTGCCAGCTGTTTCATCTTTGCTTCCCAGAGGGCAAGTCCATGATTGGGCTGGTTTAAGTTCTTGTGCTGGTAGAAGACCAGGGAGATGCGTGTGGGGTGACACCGGTTGGGCTTCTTCAGCGGGGTGGTGGCATGTAGCTCTCGCCTTGCACACTCTATGAGGATGGAGCCGTGGGCCGGAGCCACTGCCACCCCGCCAATGTTCTCATCCAGAAAGTTGTGTTCACTGTCTGACCACACCTCTTCATCCTCCTCCTCTTCTTCCTCCTTGATGTTCTTTTCGGGTGTCTCTTCCATGCTGTCATCTAAGCTGAATGAGTCCCATGGCCTTTCTTCCTGGCCAGCATCCAGAAGCATTGTACCACCATCGGCTTTCAAGGAAGGGAATGGCTTCTCCCCACACACACCTGATGCCACAGAGCCAAAGGAAGCCCATGGTCTGCTGGGTAATCCTGTGCCCGGTGTAGGAGTCCTCCTGTCATCTGCTTTGACAGAACCCCAAAGTTCATCTTGAAGTCTGGAGTTTCCCTTGATGGAACCAAAATTCAGCTGCCCCAAGTTCCAGGGCTTCTCCTGAAGGTTTGAATTCACTGAAAAGGCTGAAGGGTTCTCGTTGACTTTGCAAGGGCTCCATGATTTCCCCAGCACATCAGGGCCAGGTGGCAAAGGCTGTCCTTCTGTAGGAAACATATTCCACTGTTTTTCCAAGAGGTGGGACTGTGGTAACCTGGTAGCATTTGAGTGGGAACCAAACAAGCTGGACTTATTCTGTGTGTTTGCATTGAGAACGCCGGCATTGTCATTGGGTGTAAACATGTTCCAAGGGCTCTCAGCATGACTAGTCCTGTCCGAAGGGGACTCATTTCTGTTGACTTTGTAAGGGCTCCACTGTTGTTCTGGGCCTCCATTCTGAGATGACATGGACAAATCAGATAGGTTCAGATTTGGATTTTGGCCGTTAATAGCAGCCGCTCTCTGAAAAGACTCCATGTGTGACAAAGAGTCCATTGGCTCTTGCTTGATTGTTCGGTGATTGAAGCAGTTTGTGTTTTGTGCAAATGACAGGGCTTCTGCAGGGACAGAGTTACACCTCTGGGGCACAGCCGTGGGCTTGCCGGAATGCCTGCTGGATCTCTCGTAGGTGCGCTGGTGGTGGTTTTTGTTTCGTACAGTGGGTGGGATTTCATCTAACTGTTCGGAATTCTTGTAACCATGGCTCAAGTTATTTTGCAACATTTGGACATCAGGCTTCTTCTCGTAGCTGGTGCCTGCCCAGGGTGCGTTCCTTGTGTCACCGTAATTCAAAAACTGGGAGTGAAACATGTGATTGCTGGAAAATCCATAATACCCAAAGGATGGAAGAGAGAACTTTGAATGCAACCCATTCATGGAAGGCAGGTTAGGCTGTGCATAGTAGGAATGGTAGGAGTAAACACTGTTCATGCTGTATGGGTCAGAGGGCCTGCAGTTCCCCAGCACTGAGTAGCTTTCCACAACAGCATTCCCGTTGTACTTGAAAGTGTTGTAGTGGTTCTGAGGTTCCACTTTGATGGAAGGTTTGGCTGACCGCTGGGAATGTCCACTTTTCAAAGCCATATCTGCAGGTGCAAAACAAGAACCAATGTTAATTTGCAGAAACAGGATTGCTTCTTTGGCACAAGACCTTTGAAGATCTGGGCCGCTCTTCTGGCTAGTCTTCTGTTTACACTAGCAGACTTTCTGTCCCTTGCCTGAGTGTCTAAGAACACCATTTAGGAGGGGGAAACTTAACCAAGTGGCTACATGCACATTGTGATAGTCTGCACTATCCTCCTAAGTGACAAAATTTGACCACCTTCAGGAAAACTGAGAAATCCTCTCTCTTTGCACACTTGACTTGTGCAAGGCCTTTGCATAGTGTGACTGCACTGCCTAAGACACATTACTAGTGTTGCATCATGGATATATCTCTGCCCCCACAGACAGGGCATGGGCAAGGGAATCTCAAATCATCCTGCAAAGCACATTCCAACCACATTTATTTTCCTTTGCAAAATCCTCCTGACAAATCCTGCGACCAGTCCCCACCACAAAAACAGAGGAAAGAGAACACTGGAGCAAGTTGTGATGCTCCAGAATTTTTTTATGGAGCATGCCATTCGCTTCTTGCCCCTGGGGCTTCTCACAGCACTGAAGAGAAGCTTTCTGAACAGGATTTCTGCCACCCAAACCAACAGTGGTCATTCGCACCGTAATTAATTATCAATGCTGATAATTTCAAAACTAAGACAACCTAAGAGGCTTATACCTCAAACCTGGAAGGATAAACACCCACCATCTATTACATAATTACCTTACCATCCTGGCTACATTCAGACATATTTCATATAGGCATCAATTTCATATGGTTACCTACTTGGACATCTGGATGGCTTGTATTAACTTATATGTCTCATTTTAAGATTTGTGTGCTGATGGTAACTGAATGGATGATGGTCTACTACTATTATTATTATTATTATTATTATTATTATTATTATTATTATTATGCTGATTTTTTTTTTGTTTCCCTTCTTTAATTTAATTTAATTTAATTTATTTTCTTTCTTTCTTTGTTGAATGTGCAAATATCATCATCATCATCAGCCTAGGTTCCATGAAATCCTCTGCTTTCCAGGCAGCTTTAGAGATTCATCAACAAGAATGTGGATGAGACAGCCATTGTGGTATAGTGGCTAGAGTATTAGACTAGGAGACCCAAGTTGAAAAATCCACTCAACCTAGAGGAAGCCTTGAGCTAGTCACTATTTCTCAGCCTAACCTTCCTTACAGGGCTCTTTCTTATGAGGAGAGAACCATGAACGCTTGAGCTGAACTGCTTGGAGGAAGTGTGGAATAGAAATGAAATTTACAAATGAAAATAGTAATTGAGGACAGCAGTCTTCCAGGAATGACTCATCTTCCATTACCAATCTTCCTCTAAGTTGTGCAGAAAGTGTTTGTTTGCCATGCTCTTGAGCAGCGCTTTCCAATTGGTGCCTTTGGAGTAAGTCGGGTGGCATGCAACTAACTCGAAAAATATCGTTCTAAAGTAGCATTCCCGGACCTGGTGCCCTTTGGATGTTTTGGACTACAACTCCAATCAACTCCAGCCAGCATAGCCATGCCGATATGGCAGTGCAGGCTAGGGCTGATGGGAGTTGTAGTCCAGAACTTCTGGAGGGTCCCAAGCTGGAAAAAGCTGATAGAGAGTACACAGGCTGCACAGGAAAATGGTGAGGCCCAAATGGCCTAGCTAATAATCTGATTGGCACCCAAGAATATGTCCCAGAATCCTTTGCTTGTGCCTAGCAGTGCCTCAACAGAGACATTGATTAATAAAGCCTTCCCAAAGGGCAGAAACTTTGAAAACTATTGATCAGGCTGCATCCCAACAGCAGCTGCGTAAGAAACCTAACCAGATTAGCACATCAAAAGCACAAGACAAGTGGCCTTCTCAGCTTCCAGCCCCTGTTGCCCTCACCTGCATCCTGCTGAAGTGGTGGCATCTCAAAAACCTCCTGCTTGATTTTCTCAGGTGTAATCAGCTTCTCCTTCTGCATTTTCTTTTTCTCAGCAGCTGCCTTCCTGGCTTCCAGCTGCCTCTGCCTGCAAGACTTGGCTGGCTCAGGAAGCTTCCTCACCTCTCTGGGGAAGGAGGTGAGAACCTGGATTGCCCCCGTGCCCACCTTGGCAGCTTGATTCTCCTCGCTGCCAAACTCATCGGTGGGGGACATTTTATACAGTGGAAGGACATGCAGCTGTTCATCCTCAGGGATCCTCCCAGTGGTACGATTGTCTTCTTTTGTCAAGGTACACACCTAAAGAAGTGGGGAGACAACACACAGGGAGTCCCAGTTAGCTAATTCAATGGGGACACACAAAACGGCAAAGCCAGAGTCTAAAAAGGGACTTGTCTAGAAGCTTGAGAATTTCAAGACGGAATATCTATTGCCAGCTGGTTGAACAAATACTTTCACTTACCTGAGCCAATTAATCACGGGTTATATATTTGGGTCAAACTGATGTGATGAGATAGAGCTGTGACTAGTGTAGTAGGAATTTATAATATATGCTATGATAGGCAGGCTACATGTGGGATAAAAAGAGTAGTGTCTAATGAATGAGACTGTCTAATGAATGTGTCAGGAATGTTTGTTTTGTTTTGTTTTTGTTTGTGTGTATATATAACAAAACATAGAAAAATATAATAATAGATGCCGAATAAAATGAAATAAAAGTAGAGTTAAAGGTGGTATCTAAAGCTAAACATGAAGGAAAAGATTGCCACACCAAAATCAAACATGATAAATTAGTATCACGAAGTTCCAAGTAACACAAATGGATTTGCATTCTCCTATACCTTTTACTCCAGTACATTATGAAAAGGCTCCGTTTCAAAATGAAGACGTTTCCTTGTTGTCTACCTTCTCTAGTTCTTACATACATGTAAGCTTAACCATACATACTACGTCCCTGATTTTAGTTATCCATTCTCTCATGGATGATGTTCTCCCTTTTTTTTTTACCCAACTTTGACAAATAAATCTTCTGGCAACAGCTAACAGAAGTTTAGTTATGAAGGGAAAGACAATTATCCATCTTTTATTGTATTTCTTAATGTCTCAGCAGATGCCTTGGGCTTTTTCTTCTCCCAGACGGAAATCTGTCCATAGTTTTGGGCATGCCATTATTATACTTAGGTCTACTTTGAGTGGAAGATTTAAGAAGAAGAATAGTTTTTTGGGAGGTATCATAATCTTAACTGTTGCCATCTTTTCCATCTAGGAGGTTTTCATTAGAGTCCATCTTTCTCATTTATTTATCATGATTATATTTGGCTAGTTTTTCTACCTAAATACCTTATAGGGGGATTTTGTGACAATAATGTTTGTGCAGGAGGCAGCCTGTTCTTCTCTCTGAATTCGGCATAGGCAAACTTGGCCCTCCAGATGTTTTTTGGGACTACAACTCCCATCATCCCTGTCCACCGGTCCTATTAGCTAGGGATGATGGGGGTGTAGTCCCAAAACATCCAGAGGGCTGAGTTTGCCTATGCCTGGACTAAACCTTCGCAGATTCCTCAGCAACCGCTTATTTAACCAGTTAAAGCTATCCTGAGCACCTCAACCGATGTGGTTAATTGGAGAAAACCCACTATGACAGGATCTCCTGCATGTTAAAGAATTAACTGCAGCTATTAGAGCGGGAGGGGATCTAGAGTGGGCAATATGGCGGACAAAGGGTTAACCTTAACCCCCATACTGTTTTCCCATTGAAAACCACCAGCACCCCTCTAGCTTGGGGGTTATTTCTACAAGTTAAGCAAACCGGGGGGGGCGACACACATTCCCTCCTCTCAGCTCCCCCCCCCCCACTGTAATCTCAATCTGAATTCCTCAAGACCTATTCGCTTTGTTTTTAATGGCAAGGTGTCTTAGGGATGGTGGAGAAATTCCATCTTCCTGATATGAACTGACCTGATGTAGAACATGGGAAAGAGGAAGTAGCCTTATTGGTCCACCTAGCTCAGTAGCGCCCATGCTGATTGGTAGTGGATCTCAAGGCTTTCAGACAGGAGTGCCTCCCATCCCCCCATGATATGCCAGGGAGCTTTTGCTTGCACAGCCAGCGCTCTACCAGTGGGCCATGGCCCTTCCCTGACAAGTGTGCAGATTGGAACATCACTATCCCGTGGATTTTGCACTGCTCTGAATATTGCAAAACAATCCTTGGCTCGCAACATTTACAATGGGGCATTTTAAAATGTGGTATCTTGAAAGAAAAATGTGTTTAGAGATGGGTAGTTGAAGCACATATTGAAACACTTAAAAAAAAAAAAAAGCTAAAGCGAGACACCATGAGTATATGGCTGAATGCCTAACATAAGAACATATGCTAGATGAGATCACTGGCCCATCTAGGCCAGCATTATGTTCTCACAGGGGCCAACATGATGCCCCAAAGGTAAACCCACAAGCAAGACTTGAGCACAAAAGGACTCTGCTCCTGTGCTTTCTAGCAGCTGGTACTTAGAGAAGCACTGCTGCCTCCAACTGCAGAGCCATCGTGTATTGTGGCCATCAAGAACCTTCTCCTCCATGAATCTTCCAACCAGCAAACATGACATGGATCACAGAGTCATCCATCCATCCTCATTCAGGCATCATATTTCATTTCCTTAAGGTGGCCTTCTCCAACCCGGTGCCCACCAGATGCTGCTGGATTACAACTCCCGTCAGCTCCAACCAGGAGAGTTGTAGCCAAACAACTGGAGGACACCAGGTTGGCAAAGGTTGTCTTAAGGCCATGTACTCCTTTAATTTGGGTCTCCCTGAGAACTGCGTTTCAGTTTCTGCTTCACTTTCCCACAATAAAGACAAAGTATCTTTGCTTAGCCAACAAGCCCCCTACTCTTCCTTCCGCAACCGCGGTGACACCTTAAAGTTGATTTCGTCAGAAAGTTTCCATGGATTGGAGTTCATTTAGTCAAATGCACAAAGTCAGATGCATCTTAAGTTGGCTGGTGGAAGCAGCAGTCCCAAACATTTGGAAAGTTCCAGGTTGGTGAAGAATGGCTTACAAGAATCTCAGCAGCTTTGCTGTAACAGGCTAAGACAGCCACCCCTGTGGAACTTTGCAGAGAGAAATGCAAAAAAAACAAACACACACACAAAAAAACCAAAATGAGAGCCAGATGTAGTGGTTAGAAGGTTAGACTAGGATCTGGGAGAGATCAGGGTTCAAACCTCCAGCCATGAAGTTCACCTGGTGACTTTGTGCCACTCACTGCCTCTCAGCCCAACCTGCTTCACAGGATAAAAATATAGGGGGGGGGGAATCATGTATGCCACCTTGAGCTCCTTGAAGAAAATGAACGCAGTTATTGTATCTTTTATGCAATGAATGATTAATAAAATGAGCGATGATGCTTCCTTACCACAGTACAGCCATTGTAAAGGTTATGCTGATCTTTGTGAGCGTGAGCACAGAAGTCCATGCATGCTGTCACACCAGAGAAGGGCCTCCCCTCTTTCAGTCCAAGCCGGCAGTCTATTGCTATATCCTCATTCGTAACCTGGTGAGAAAAGACAGCAACAACTCAAATCACAGCAGTACCTTGGGAAAGACGTATGGTTGGTTTGTTTATATTAATATGTACGTTTTAAAACCTGTTGTTGTGACATCATTATTATTATTATTACTATTACTATTATTATTATTATTATTTAATACAAAGCATGAAGTTGAACAAAACAAGAAAAACTCACCTAATTCCCCTAACCCTCCCTCTCCCCACAGAACACAGTCAGAAGTAGAATAAAAATAAGACGATACTGAAGTCACCCTGGAGTTGACATCAGATGGAGTTTAATTATTTTGTAACAATTGTCTTTCATACATTTTTTAAATTTTTGAATTTTATCTGTGTCGTTTTAATTTGTGTAAGCCACCTGGGAGAAAGCGGGCTATAAATAAATGTAAATGTAGCAGCAGCAGCAGCAGCAACTCAAATGGCTTACATTAAAATAAAATAAAAACAATAAGTAAAAACACAGCAACACAAATAAAGGCTAAAACCATAGCTTTAGATAGGGAGAGGAGGCAGTCCTACAGCTCTCGCACCACTAGAATAATAATAATAATAATAAATTTTATTTATATCCCGCCCTCCCCAGCCGAAGCTGGGCTCAGGGCGGCTAACAACAAGAAGAGACCAAAAGGCTGGGGGAAGGTAAAAGCCCCTGCCTCCAATCTAAAAGTGGGCAAAGATGAGGCTAGGCATGACTCTCTTGGGACAGCTTTCCACAAGCTGGGAGAGGGGGGCATTTGTTAGAGCTGTAAAGGGACAAAGGGCTAAAGTCTGAGTGCCAAGACAAAAGCAACACCCACACTTTCAATGGACTCCTGCAGTCTTTCTCAACCCGGTGCTGTCCAGACATTTTGGACTCCAACTCCCATCAGCCCCAGCCACCAGAGCCACCCTCCCATCTGCCCTGGAATCCAACATTATGCTGCCTGGAGATGATGGGAGTTGCAGTCCAAGACTGGACTGTCCTTGAAAACAAGACTGCACTGAAGGGGGTGACCATTTGGGTCCCTTCCAACTCTAGAATTCTATGATTACACAAAGACCTGAACCTTCATTTACCTAGCCCTACCCTGGGCTCCATCTTTTGTTTGCTCAATATTTCTTCTAGTGCCAATCTGGTTCTCTCCAGATGTTGCTGGGACTCCAGCTTCCATCAGCCCCAGGCAGTGCTGGCCAATGTTTTGGGAGCTGAGTTGAGTTCCAACAACATCTCGAAGATAGCAGGCTGGGCAAAGACTGCTGTAAACCAGTCAAACCAGTATGCAACGAATCAGAGCATTTCCTGCAACAGACCTTGGCAACAGCCTCATAGCCAGTATAGGTCAATGGTTCTTAAAGGCTGCGGCACACCAGCAGGAGAGGATGGCAAGCGTGGTGGGAAGATTTGAGGATAATCAAAGAAACATTTAAACATTTCAGTATTGTATAGTATCATTATTGCAGAATATTGATAGCTATCTTTTAACATGAGAGCATCAAGTAATGCTGCAAGCTCACACCCTCTCACTGTGGGGTACCTATGAAAGAGGTGCTTTATAATAATATTTTGGAATGACTTATGTTCTTATGTAGCTGAATTGTTTTATCCTTTCTGGATGTCCCATGAGCATATCAAGTAGATGTGTTCAATGTTACCAGTCAAGCACTGCTAGAAGCTGGTCCCCACCCCACCCCTGGCCAAAAATTCAGTGTGGCACAAGCAAACTTTTATTCTGAAATATGGCTCAAAGAAAAAAGTTTGAAAACCACTGGGACCTATACCTAAATCAGCAGCACAAGAATAACAAGAGCTGTACAGTGGGCCATTCCAGGTACCTGATTTTTGTAGGCCTGGGGTGCCAGCCTCCTATAAAGTGGGGCGACTTCTGTGGCCAGGTCCTGGAAGCTTCTTCTGAGAACTTCTTCCTGCAGGGAGAGATTGGGAGAGTCATAGTTGCTCATTGCTGAGTCAGACTACCTAGTTCAATATCCTGTGTCCAGCAGCCAACAGCATCTCCCTGAGGCCCAGAGACATTTCCTACCTCACTGTCACCGCCTGTGATCCTTTTTCATGGGAGATGCCAGAGATTCATTCAGGCTGCAACTTTCTGCACTCAAAGCAGGGGCTTTTCTACAGGACAATAGCCTCTAACCCTTTCACCTTTTTTTAATGGATCCATAGTAAAGCATTTCAAAGGAGCTGCATCAAAAACTAGTGCCAGCAAGGACATTTCCAAAACAAGGGGTAATATTTCCAAGTGTTTCACCCAGACCCAATCCTTTCTACCAAATATTAAAAGCTAGCATCATAGAGTTGTAGCCAAATGCCAGTCCTACTCATAGTAGACCCACCAACGTTAATGGGCATGACAAGCTTAGGTTCATTCATTTCACTTGATCTACTCTGAGTAGAACTTAGTGGGATGCAATCCATAGTGATCAGTAACCTATATTATTTATAAGAACTGTGAACACCTTTCAAATGAGGAAACAAGAAATTCATTCTGGAGTATTCAGTACAATGGTTGCAATTCGGGACACACTTTCCCTATTAGTGCCGCCAGCAGCCCCCTCCTTCAGTTCTTAAATATTTTTGCCATTAGGACAAATTCCAAAACTTTTTCCATCCACTTATTTTTGGTATGGTTTGTAGAGGCTATTTTCCAGCCCTTTCAGGTTTACAAGAAGGAAGCAATGACTTGCTTGACCAAATGCAAGCAGGTATTTGGTCAGCCTACTTTTGGGGAAGTCTCACATGAACTTTGCCAGAATCCCATGTCATTGCTCTTCCCCTTAAGAGATTCTGGTGAACCCTGGAGCCCTAATCCCCCTTGAAAAATGAACAAGCAAGACAAAGGGAGGCGTGGTGGTGGGTGGGTGTCTCACTAACCTCTTTGGGGTTGTCTCCCTGAAGTCTGAATTTCCTGGGCGTTTTGCTTCGAGCGTATTTGCACCCATTGAAATACATGCTCCAAGAGCAGCCGAAGGAGAAAGAGGCACCACAGGTGTTGGGGTCCTTGCCTTGACATGCACAGGTCCGGCTGCAATGAATACAAAGGAAGGCATTTCAGATGCTGTCCACAGCAGCCAAATGGAGCTACTGACCTGTGCTCTTGTCATTCCCAACCCACTGAATCTAAAGGTGTCAACCACAAATGAGTTGGGAAGGCCAAATCCCCCCACCAGGAGGTGCCCATCAAGGGAGCACAACCATAAACCAACACTGGACCTCTAAAAAGCATTGACTTATAAAGCAGTTAAGGGGATTTCCTTTCCTTTCCTTTCCGATAATGTGGGAGGTATGGGTTGTGCTCATATTAATGTGATGTGAAGTTTATTCCCAAGATTAACTTTTAATGTGCTTGCAACGTAGTGTGTTAACTGTTATGTATATCTGTCTTATCAGTGGCTAATATGTTGCAATATTTTAATGAGCTTAAATCTTATTGTCTTTTCTCTAAATAAGTGTTCATAATCATGGGAGCTTTCTAACACACATAAAGGTAAAGGTAAAGGTACCCCTGCCCGTACGGGCCAGTCTTGTCAGACTCTAGGGTTGTGCGCCCATCTCACTCTAGAGGCCGGGGGCCAGCACTGTCCGGAGACACTTCCGGGTCACGTGGCCAGCATGACATCGCTGCTCTGGCGTGCCAGAGCCGCACACAGAAACGCCGTTTACCTTCCCACTAGTAAGCGGTCCCTATTTATCTACTTGCACCCAGGGGTGCTTTCGAACTGCTAGGTTGGCAGGCGCTGGGACCGGGCAACGGGAGCGCACCCCGCCGCGGGGATTCGAACCGCCGACCTTTCGATCCGCAAGCCCTAGGCGCTGAGGCTTTTACCCACAGCGCCACCCGCGTCCCGTTCTAACACACATAGCTACGATTTATTGTGTACAGGTAACAATTTATTGTGTACAGGTAACATGTGCGGTTTCAACTTTACCTGGCTGAAGGCTGGCTAGCTAAAACTGCACAAATTGAATGCACAGAATGCAGAGAGCTTAAGCTCTGTCTTGCAGAGCTGAAAGAAACGCCTGGTACAGCCTAATAAAGGCCTCGCACAACAAGGACACATCCTGTTTCTGGCGTACCATATCAGGACTACTGGAGCATGGAGAGGGCCAATTTGTACTGTCGAACCCCAAGAATGGACGCAGTAGTACCGCTCACTTTTCGTAGACCAGGATACTCAGCTTAATCACCCAACAGTATCTCCAGAAAACTTACCAGCTTGGCCCCCAGTGTCCACGACTGAGGTAAAAGACCTAATTACACAGCTAAAAAACAATAAAGCCCCAGGCATTGATCACCTGCCCCCAGAACTTTTGAAGTCCAATATTGACTGGTGGACACCTCTGCTTGCGGCAATATTCTCTCACATTGATTCTTCTGGTTTACTCCCTGACAGCTGGGCCATTGCGGTAATCATCCCAATATTCAAAAAGGGCCCTACTTCGGATCCGGCCAGCTACAGACCTGTCAGCCTCTTACCTATAGTTAGTAAATTATATGCAAAACACCTCCACAATAAATTAATCCACTGGATTGATGTTGAGGCTATCCTTGCGGAAGAGCAAGCAGGAATCAGGCAAGGCTGATCTACCATAGACCATTGCTTCGTCCTAGCCCACCTCATAGATAAGTACGCCAAGCAATCTCGTGATGTGCTGTATGCTGCTTTCATTGATTTGAAAGCTGCTTTTGACTCAATCTCACAAGTAAGACTATGGGCTAAACTGAACACCTCAAGCATAGACAAAAGATCTTATTAACTGCCTTTATAAAGACACTGTGCTGAAAGTGCGTTGCTCTACAAATGGCCAACTTACAGGATCTGTACCAGCCACAAAGGAAGTCAAGCAAGGATGCATTTTAGCCCTGGCACTCTTCAACCTATACCTAAATGACATGGCCCAGTGGCTAACATCTCCAGAGTTCCAGGCCCCTAAACTGGACTCAATACCAATCTCTGTACAATTATATGCTGATGATGCGGTCCTCTTATCCCAAACAAAAATAGGCCTAAAAAGATTGCTGAGAGAATTCTCAGTGTATTGCCAGAGAGAACACCTGGTCGTAAACTATCAGAAAACCAAAGTTATGGTTTTCTCAAGAAAATATAGGCCCCGCAGTTGGCGTATGGACAATCAGCCAATTGAACAGGTCAAAGCTTTCAAATATTTGGGCCTTATCTTCCAGTCCATGGGGTCATGGGGAGCACACCAAAATGTGCAAAAGAAAAAGCATCCCAAAGTGCCAAGACTTTGACTTGCTTTTTCCATACAAAGGGTGGCAAACATATACCATCAGCCCTAGAAGTCTTCTAAGCTAAACCCCCTGGCAACAGCTACTATACGGGGTTCAGATTTGGACTGGTAACCACCTTAGCATTTTGGAAGCAGTTCGATCAAAGTTTCTAAGGCAAATTTTTTCTGTACTGCCATGCGTCCCAAACACATCACTGAGACTGGAGGCCAGTCTCCCTTCAGTAGAAGTACAGACTTGGCAAAGAACTCTTAACTTCTGGCTCCGCCTAAACTCAAATCTCCCCGGTTTACTATCCCTAGTACTTCAAGACTCCCATAAAAGTGCCTGGCTTAAAACCGTCTATCAAACACTTTACTCTTTACTTTACCCCACAACACCTACTCACTATGGGCCCTACTAATGCAAACAGTCTAATTGGTCAACGTCTAAAAGATATCAAGCATCAGAACAACCAGGCCACTATAAGGAAATTCTGCCCTTGGTATGTTCATTTTCCACCTCTCCATTTTGATTCTCTGGCCCCATATCTACACAAATTTATTATCCCAAAATACAGACGTGCTTTTACACTTGCAAGACTGGATGTTTTGCCATCTGCGGTACTTGAGGGTCGATTCCAAAAGATCCCGCCTGAGAAACGTCTTTGCCCCTGTGGAGATGGTAGCACCGAAACAGCGGCACATGTCCTCCTGTCTTGCACTCTCTACAAAGACCTGAGGAACGAGATCATCACCCCACTCGTACTAACCATCTCAGGGCGCTCAACCACTGCCACAATGTCCTTTCTTCTGTCAGATCAAAATGAGCAGCTAACAGCAAAGGTTGCTAGGTTCATAGCAGGGGCAATCAGAACAAGGGCCACTAACTGACAGCTGATTCAGGACTTTAAATTGTGCTCTTATATCAAATTTCCTTTTCTGCGTATACTGTAATGTTTTACTGTTGCTATGGCCACTGGCTAATGCGAATAAAGTTTTATTTTATCTCTGTCTTGCTTACTGTCTTGCTTACTAGAAGGCTCTCATGTGGGCTCTGAGAGGCTCTCATGATGTCTCACACATCCCTATGAGAGCCTCCCAGAGCTGGTAAGCAAGGCAAAGAACTTAAAAATTAAAAAACCCTTTGCCTTGCTTGGGAGGGTTAAGGCCCATTTGGCACAACAGCTCCAGAAGGTAAAAGTGCTCTGGTGGGGGCGGTTCCAAGGGTGTGGTTCTAGTATTCTCTGTCTCATGTCAAGATTGTTGTTTTTAAAAAAGGATTGCTAATTCCCGTTATCACTGAATCTGATAATTTTAAGCAGGGAAGAGCTCAAAATGTTGGCCTGGAGGGGGCAAGTTTCATATGGACCCAAGGATCTTCTATTTGGGCCCTAATCAACGGTAGTCAGGGGAGAGAAGGAAGGAGGGAAAGCGGGAGAAACTTGTTAGTTTTTGAGGTAACATGTTCACCTCGTCAGAAGCAGAAATCAAGAGTCAATAAAGGACCCGCCTCTCCCCAAGTCCAAGGAAACTTTCAGTAAATCAACTCCATTGCTCAGGAAAGTGAGGCAAACTTCATACTGCAGAGTAAACCATGGGCAAATAAACACACACACACACACACACACACACACAAGCAGAACAGGGCTGTGGTTAGCTGCTTTGTCTCTCCCGGCCAAGATCTCTGAGAAGATGCTGTGTCCCACAAGCCTCTTGTCTCCAGCAGCCTGGCCAGGGCTAAAGGAACTTACTCGTCGTTCAGCCCACATCGCCGGGTGGTGGGGTTTCCATATTTCGTGAGGGTGTCAGTGAGCTCCTGGTACAGGGTGTCCCCCAGGGCACGAGGGATCCCCTCCCAGGCCAGAATCAAGATAATGATGACAGCATTCTGGCAGTGATGACCAGCACGGTGTCGCACCAGGCACAAGAGCTTCTCCTCTAAGTTGTGCCTCCTGATGACCTGGAAAACAGGAGAGGGTTTTGCTTGGTTAAGGAAAATAAAGCCTCCAACCTCACCCTGCCATCCTCCCCCAACGGGGCCAGAGTGGTGCTGCCCAGCCTCCTGGGCAGAACTGCCCAAAGAGAAGTCAACATTAATGGGGCAAAGTGGCACACTGTAGACTTATTTTTCATACAATTGAAGGAACTGCAGTTGCTGCTGACTGCCCTGGTGTGGCAGTGCTGCACTTCTGTTGGCTGGTGACAGTCTCCACATCAATGCCTGAACATAAGAGACGCCTAACTGCTGGATCAGACCACCAAAAGCCCACCCAGTCCAGCATCTTGTTTCCCACGGTGGCCAGCCGGATCCCTCTGGAAAGAAAATAAGTGGGCTGTAGAAGCCTTCCTCCATTGCTATGCCCAAGCAACTGGAGTGAAGTGGCATCCTAGGTGAGAGCCCTTGCCCCTCTCCTCCTCCACTGCCACCACCACTATGAAATTGTATCTTCCTTCCACTATTCCTGCAATGAGAGTTATTGAGGGTCTTTGGGGCAGAATTTGGGAACATTCTTGTTTGCTGGCAGTGACTGCATAGGAACTGCTATTCGGCCAGGTTTCTGGGATAAATGCTAAATGCCAGGGGAAAGGAGGGCAGCCACTTACCCACTTCGCAATGGGGCAGCCGCGGGAGCTCTTTCCTTCCTTCCCTGTGTAGATCACTTTTTCAATTCTGATGGCTTTTCCCTTCTCACCATACCTGGTTGAAAAAGTCACAACATTAGGAAGACAAACAGGGCACATGACTGAGAGCTCTGCTCTGGAGGACTATCTGAGTGAAACCTCTTTCTGAAAGACTGGAGAAAGATTACAAGATGGGTTGGGCTTCCACTTGCCAAATGGCTTTCAAACTAGCCAGCAGGGCCATCTTACCCATAGGTGCTAGGGGTGTGGGGCACCCGGGCGCTGGGATCTCAGGGGTGGCAGGCCAAGAGTCTGGGGCCCGAGAGTGGAGTCCGGGGAAGAGCCCGCTCGTCAGTCGGAGCGCCGCAGTGGGCTCTTCTGCTGCGGGTGGCTCTGTGCTGCAAGTTCAGGGGCGACCGAGCCAGCAAGACGCTGAGACGACCAGCCGACTCCACCCTCCTGCGTGCCTAGGACTGGGCAACATGGGGAGGCAGGTGCCGGGCGGATCTTTGCATCCCAGTGCCCCATATGCTTAAGACAGCCCTGCTAGCCAGGATAGTAAGCTAACTTCAAAACCATGGTTTAATATTCTAGCTTGTTTGTGAGCTGTTCACCATAGTTTAGGAGTCTGGATGCAACAGGAAGCTGTGGTTAGGAAATGAAAGATGACTTGTTCAGCTGCTTGTGTGAAAGGAAGAGGAAAGGGAGGCTACATGCAAGTGCAAGGCTTATGAAAGCCAGGACTGGTTTGTGTATGTTTCACCCAACATGTACTCTAAAATGCTTGGTGTGGTTATTGCTTTGCCATCCCAGTGCTTCGGGGCATCATAGCTAAGAGACAGCCAAATACAACTGCCTACCTTAGTTCTATTAATTGCAACTCAACCTTCCCAAAGAGCAGTATCTCCAGGATACCAGAGGTCACACACTGGGGCTTTGCTATTCACTGGGAAAAGGTTGCATTTCACTTTACTGCAGAAGACGTGCTTCTCAAAAGGACTCACTGAGCGTGGGAGCTGTTCTTCATCTCAGTTATTGATGCACAGAGGTTCTTTTCCCACCTCCGCCTTTAGGATCGTCAGCCTCCCAGCCCTGGTTGTGCTGCCTGCGGTGGTGATTCAGTGGCAATGTGTTTAGAGGTGACTCAACTTCTTCAGCAGTCTATGAGTCAACTGCAGGGGAGTAGCCTAATCAGTCTGAACATGTGTCGGCCCACCTGCAAGCAGTCTGCAGCACTAACCCTCCCTGTTGCCTGGGCAAAACTCCTCAATGGAAACAATAGGGGGGAAAGCACCTCTTTCTTGTATGTTATACCTAAAATTCAAATGACCTTCTGGATGAGCCAGGGAGACAACACTTCTACTGGCAACAATTAAAAGAAGTAACCTGAACATCTTACATTTTTAATGCTGAGAGGATGTGAGCCTCAGCCCAACCTTCCCTTTTTAAAAACATGGCAGTCTTCAGACAATTCTCCAAACCATGATTTGGAGGATGAGAAACAAGCTGCATGCTCCCTCCTCCCTTCTCAGAAAACTCATGTGGACTTACTTTATTGATTGATTGATTGATTGATTGATTGATTCATTGTATTTATATCCCACCGTTTTCTCAAAGGAGCTCAAGGTGAAGTACCGTATTTTTTGCCCTATAGGACGCACTTTTTCCCCTCCAAAAATGAAGGGGAAATGTGTGTGCGTCCTATGGGGCGAATGCAGAGGGGAGGCAGGCAGGAAAAGCTCCCAAAAGCCACACACAAGCTCCACGCGGCTCTTGCGGGCTTTTCCTTAGGAGCGACAAGGGACTGACGCCGCCAGTCAGTCCCTTCTCCCTCCTCGTAGAAAAGCCCACAGGAGCCGCGTGCTCCTTAAAGGGTGCGTGGCTCCTGTGGGCTTTTGCGGGAGGTGGGGGTATTGCCATAGCCGTGCGCAGCCTCTCCTGGCTGGAGAGGTGGCGCGCGGCTATGGCAGCAGCCTCTCCAGCCCGGAGAGTGTGCGCAGGGCTAAGGAATAGCCCCGCGACCATCTCCCAGCTGGAGAGGTGACGCGTGGCTATAGAAGCAGCCTCTTTAGCCGTGCGCCACCTCTCCAGCTGGGGGAGCGTGCGCAGGGCTAACGAATAGCCCCGCGACCCTCTCCCAGCTGGAGAGGTGACGCGCGGCTATGGAAGCGAGGCGCCTGTCCTGCGAAGCCGGGGAAGGAGCAGAAGGGTCTCCTTCAGTTCCTCCTCCAGCTTCGCTTGATGGGCGCTGCGCAGTTCTCCCTCTCCGCGCAGCGCCTCTCCTTCGCAGGAGATTTGTGTCACTCCAAGTCAGGCAAGGATTGAGTCACTTGCATGAAAACCTTATTCTTACTTTCTTTCCCTTTCCCTTTCCCTTTCCCTTTCCCTTCCCCACCTCCTATACCTGACAAGGGAAAATTTCTATTTTTAACACAGCTGTTTTGTGCAATACTTCTTCTGCCAAAAAGACCTGTTTTAAAAACTTTTTAAAAAAATTATGGGGCACCTGCACCCTTTTCCTATTGGCTCCCTTTTATAGGGAGTTACAGTGATCACAGAATCAAAGTGTTGAAGGTTATCTATGTTGATGCAAGAATTTTAAAAGAGAAAAGAGAAGAAATCTTTTTAAACTGCACATGTTTTGCAACTTACCGTTCTTCCATGAGTTCCCTGATGGCTGCCACAGTTGGTCCAGATCCCAGGTGGGTGTAATAGGGCCCTTCGTCTTTTTCCACTATTTGCTCTGTTTAAAAACAAAACCAGATGAATTATTTCACCTCGGTGTCTTTGCCTTTTTATAGCAAAGGGAACAGGTGTAACTGAAAGTTTGTTAAGCTGAAGGTGGGCAGAATGAAGCCCTTGGTCTGATGCCCCACTGAAACTGCAAAAACGAGGGAGGGGGGAGGTAGAGAGCGGAAGCACAGCTCACCAAAACACAACTGGGATTTTAAACTGCACTGTGATTTACACAACATGATAAGTTACAAACTATTTTGTGAAGCTTATGCTCAAAAGTGGCCTAAAATTATTTTCAAAGAAATAAATTTCCTTTATTCTAGGAGTAGAGGACTGGTGCCCTCCAATGTTGCTGGACTACAAATCCCATTCTCCTGACTCACTGGCCAGGCCGGCTGAGGCTGACAGAGTCCAAAAACTGGAGGTTATTGGCTGGAGGTTCTCCAGTCCCAGCTACTCCCTTGCTGCCACCACAGCAGCAAGGCCAATTAGGCAGGTAGGCTGGTTGGAGTTTCATAGGGGAAGCTGTGGGAGACACCTGACTCCGTTGTCTTCCCCGAGACATCATCAAGAACCGGCTAAGCGTTATACTAATTCTCCAAGTAAGAGGGGAACTCTGCTGTTTGTGGCTTCTTTCTGCAAGCTCAATTCCAAGCCTGATCAGGGAGGGGAGGGAGATGGGTACTAGCCACAATGGCTAGGCTCTGCCTCCACAGATGGAAGAGAGGTGAGTGCCCACAGGAATCAAGACTTGGCAGCTCCACCACAGAGCCACCCTGACAGCTTCTCTGCTGACAGACTGCAAGCCCCCCCTCCCCCCCCCCACTCCCAGAACAAGGCATCTACTGCATGTCACAGACCAGAGAGCCAGGCAGAAACAGAGAAGGTCCCTTAGGAAGGTGCTTGACACAGAGGGTTAGAGTGTGAGTGGGGGGAGTTACAATCCAGTCCAGGCAACTGGTTCATCTAGATTAGGCATCCCCAAACTCTGCCCTCCAGATGTTTTGGGACTACAACTCCCATCATCCCTAGCTAACAGGACCAGTGGTCAGGGATGATGGGAATTGTAGTCCCAAAACATCTGGAGGGCCGAGTTTGGGGATGCCTGATCTAGTTAGCAGCAACCCTTAGAAGTCTCAGTGTTTTCTCTGTTCTGCTTCCTTAATAAAGAAACTAACCGTAAGTTAGCTGCCATGTCACCGTCATTCTCTGTTCTGCAAATGACCTGTTCTCCCTGTCGGCTCCTTGAGAGCTGGTGGCATTTTATATAATAAGTGGTGTCAAAGAAGCAAAAGTACAAGCTAAAAGATGTGCATCCTCCCTCTGCAATACTGCTGTGTATTTCATAATATTCATTCAAATGCCTTAAGAAACATGCAAGAGATCCTAAAGCGGCAGGGACCTCTCACCTACTTGGAGTAGCAAAAAGGACTGGTCCCAGGCTGATATTTGCAACCTCAGACAAAAGTGCAGCCACATCTAGAGGCCCTAAGCAAGATCAGGGGAAAGCCCTTTTGCTTAAGATCTCGGGTCTGCTGACCTAGTAATTAAGGTAAGCTACAAATACAAAATTCTTCACTGCTCAAATGGTAACCCTGACTTGAGCTCAAAACTTATTTCTCCTCCTTCCCTCCCAGCTCTGAAAACAAAGTGCTTCTGTTTCCTGTTTCCACAGAGCACAACAAAGGTATCTGACTGAAAAACAGGAATGCCTTCAGCTCTGCATCTCTGAAAGGCTCCCAAATGGTCCACATGCCCATCTTAATAAGCCAGTTCTAATGAATCCCATACCAACTAGCTGGGAGCTGAGATTTACCCTTCCTGCGTCCTTTTGTCATAAGATAACCTACAATTTAGTAAACAAAAAATACAACTCATTGATGGAAAAAGAGGATGGCTGCCAATATCTTCTGTTTCCTAATAAAATAATGTTATACAGTGGTACCTCGGGTTAAGTACTTAATTTGTTCCGGAGGTCCGTTCTTAACCTGAAACTGTTCTTAACCTGAAGCACCACTTTCGCTAATGGGGCCTCCCGTTGCTGCCGCGCGATTTCCGTTCTCATCCTGAAGCAAAGTTCTTAACCCGAGGTACTATTTCTGGGTTGGCGAAGTCTTTAACCTGAAGCGTATGTAACCTGAAGCGTATTTAACCCAAGGTACCACTGTATTTACAACAATAACAAACTAGAATAGCAACAGCTAGCTATTTATGTAGCCTCTCTCAGCTGAAACTGCTTTCACCAGTTAATTAACTAAGGTTGCAAATATCCTCACCTCACTTATCTGGGCGTTAGCTCCCTTACATGTGACTTTACTTCTAAGTAGACATGGTTGGGACTAGGCCTGGGCAATGTATTGATACGTTGCCTGAAACTGGTTTAAATTTAAAATTGCAAGAGCGATTTTATAATTTCCAATCAGACAATGTATCACTAATCTCTGGCCCTGCTCACACCCACCCACACACCCACCCACACACCCCACAGCCCAGCCGCTGGCCTCAGGAGTGGGGTTTGCCTGCCTGCAAGCCAGTGCCTTCATTTATTTCCCTGGCCATGTGAGTGCCGCTTCCTCCCTCCATTCCTCCTTGCACAGAGCAGAACAGTGGTTTGTGGTAGCCGCCGCTTGTACAGTGAGAGACTATCATTGGGGCGAGCTGCGGCTGGCAGTTCCAGTGCCAGGCCATGTGGTGCCCTGGCTGCTGTGCTCTGCGCAGGGTAGTATCACCTGCCCAGCCTTGCCAGGAAGAGGCAGAAGCTGCACAGGATGATGCTAATCACATCCAGGGCTGGCAACTGTCTTCTTCCTCCCCGTCTCCTTTCTGACATCATAATATACCGCCACATCGTGAAGTTTAGTTGGCGATATATTACGATGTTGGAAAGCAGATATCACCCAGCCCTAGTTAGGACTGCATCCTTAAACCTTAATTAAAGGTGATCCGTTAAAACAGTCTGGGGCCAACCAAAACAGCACAGAGAAAAATCCTGCAGAAAGAATGATCATGTTGTTTGTGACATTTCACTTGGTCCTAATCAATTTATTGCTCTCCTATGACTTTGGGATCTTTTTCAAATAAACCAACAAGGCTACTCATGGAAGTTATTTTTTTTTTTATTTGATTTATTTATTTCATAGAATCTATAAACCATTTTTCACCAGAAGCCCCAAAGAGTTGTGCAACAATATTAAAGGTAGTTCAACAGACCAAGGTCAGTTAAAAGCAATTCCATACACTACAACACAACGTTACTGCACTAAGACCATGAGGTGTACAAAAGCACCTGGACCTAAGGCAGTATTAGTTGGCCTGGGAGAAAAGGCAGGTCTTAGAAAGATGGTGAAAAGCCACAGCAACATTGCCACCTGTGCCTTCGGGCTTAATTACACCAATTTGGTCCACCAGACCAAGCCTTTCCCATCTGACACTGCATTAATGCCAAAAAGGGCTCAAGCAGCTTTATTTGCAAGCCCCTTGAAAGCAGCTGTCAGAGGTCTAGGACAGCCATAGGCAAACTCCGGCCCTCCAGATGTTTTGAGACTACAATTCCCATCATCTCTGACCACTGGTCCTGTTAGCTAGGGATGATGGGAATTGTAGTTCCAAAACATCTGGAGGGCCAGAGTTTGCCTATGCCTGGTCTAGGAGCACGTCAGGCCAGTGTTACGCATTACACAGAATGAAATCAGGGTCCTCAGCCCTCACCGCCCTGCCACTAGGGCTTCTTCAGCTTCTCATAGATCATCAGAACAATGGCAAACCCATGCTGGCTGGTGCTAATGGGAGCTGTAGCCCCAAAAAGCTGGAGAGCAGCTGGAGGAGGCCTGACTAGAGCTTAAATTGGTTAATTTCATTGTACACAGGTTGTACATTGACAATAAAGGTATTATTATTATTATTATTATTATTATTATTATTATTATAAATGGAGTTCCAAGGTCACTGACCATGGATCAGATTTTGGCCCACTCTGTCTCATCCATTTCATGCACAAGTTGGCAACAGTGACCCAACGCCATCTGTCGGATTCTTTGTTGTGATTCCTGCCTTGCAGGGGGTTGGACTAGACAACACTTTGTTGTTGTTGTTTAGTCGTTTAGTCGTGTCCGACTCTTCGTGACCCCATGGACCAGAGCACGCCAGGCACCTCTGTCCTCCACTACCTCCCGCAGTTTGGTCAAACTTATGCTGGTAACCTCGAAAACACTATCCAACCATCTCGTCCTCTGTCGCCCCCTTCTCCTTGTGCCCTCCATCTTCCCCAGCATCAGTGTCTTCTCCAGGGAGTCTTCTCTTCTCATGAGGTGGCCAAAGTACTGGAGCCTCAGCTTCACGATCTGTCCTTCCAGTGAGCACTCAGGGCTGATTTCCTTAAGAATGGATGCGTTTGATCTTCTTGCAGTCCATGGGACTCTCAAGAGTCTCCTCCAGCACCATAATTCAAAAGCATCAATTCTTCGGCGATCAGCCTTCTTTATGGTCCAGCTCTTACTTGCATACATCACTAAGACAACACTTTAGGTCCCTTCCAACTCTACGATTCTATGAGCTTGTGGACTTTTGGGACACCATACCACTTTATACCTGGAAAGACAAGAGTCCCCACCTTGGGTTGAGTTCACCGCTATGCCACTCTCTTCCCCTCAGAAACAACAGTGCAAGTGTAAGTCCAAGGCCCAATTCTGCTGGCAGAGTCGCAGGTAAAGCCCTGGAAACTACCACTTGATACCTTCCATACCTTTGACTCTGAGGGTATATGGAAAAGACAGTTCATGCTGTCAAGCCCTAGCAGGTCCTGGGGGGTTCACAGTCCCTTTCAGCCAACTATCACACCAAAGGCTCCTGCAATCCTAACTGACTGAATCAAGCTTGGTGGTGTTAGAAACTCAGATATATAAGCAGGGCACTAAATGGCGCTTTAGACCTATGTTGTGGTCACCACAAGAAGATGTTGATTCACAGGAGCTTGGACTGCATGACCCTTGGGGTCCTTTCCAATGCTACAATTCTACATGTTTATTGCTTGACTGTAGCTTGCTCTTACAACAATTCACTTGACCCAGTATGCAAGACAGAGAAACACACACAGTGGAAATGGAAATGATATTAACTATGGAACAAGGCAGAGCTTTTTAAACAGTGGTTTGTGAGTTCCTTTTGGGTGGCCTGTGGAGAGGCTGCAGCACAGTCAAATATCTCTGCACTCAGCCCTGCACCTACTTTCCCTGACGTGATGATGGAGGACTGCATGCAAGTCAGTTGGCTCAGTTGCCAGCCTGGTGCCCCAAACTCTCCACGTAGTCATGATTGGACCTGTGCCAGTAGCAAAATGCGCCTGGTACCTACCTGGGAATTTAGAACACTGGTGCTTGGCTCTCATCAAAACCAATTCAGCAAAAGCCACCAACCTAGGTGCAGCATGATTTCAGCTTTGTGGCAATTGTTGGAAGCTGCACCTATGGTGTTGCCTTTCCAGAATTGAGAAGCATCATCTCCTTCTTCCCATATTTGTTCTTGAAACAAGCAAACAAAAAAGCAACCAAACCCTCCAGTAAGGTGAGACTTGCTCCACTGTCGCAGACTGCAAGGATTTGCCCTCTGTTGGGTGTAAACACAGCTGGTCTTTTCTTTGAAGTCTGATGGAGACTGGCTTTGGCCAGACTACACTTGGCTCAGTTGCCAAGCTACTTTAAAATAGCAAGAGACCCAAAACAGAAATCCTTAAATCTTGGCCAGTTCCATTGCTAGGGCAGGAAATGCAAAGGCATCGGCATGGTTGGTCTATGCTGACCTAAAGGCCTGATCTCAGCTACTAGTGGCCAGCCAAAGATCAGTTAATCAGTGACATAGCAACATGTAAGATGGCTTTATAACTGTTAAAACAGTAAAATTGTTTTGCAAACAAGTCCACAAAAGTTGCAAGCCCACCTGCCCAGAGATCCTTAAGTTAGTAAGATATATCAAGGGTTTGGAAGCCAAACCTTATGAAGAACAGTTGAGGGAGTTGGGTCTGTTTAGCCTGGAGAAGAGACAAGCTGAGAGGTGCTATGATAGCCAACTTCATATATCTGAAGGAATGTCACACGGAAGAGGAAACAAGCTTGTTTTCTGCTGCTCCAGAGGGCAGGACCCAAACCAATGGATTCAAATGAGAGGGAGGGAGATTCTGACTAAACATTAGGAAGAACTTTATGAAGGCAAGAGCTGTTTGACAGTGGAATGAACTCCAATTCACTGGGGGGGGGGCGTTGTTAAGCAGAGGTTGGATGGCCATCTGTCGGGGATTCATTAGCTGTTATTCCTGCATTGCAAGGGGTTGGACTAGATGACCCCTGGGATTCCTTCCAACTCCACAATTCTATGATTCTATGCAAAGCATGGATGGGCAAACTGATGCCCTCCAGATGTAGTTGGGCTTCAGCTCCTGTCAACCCCGCTGAGAACAGCCAATGGTAGCAACATGTATCCTAGAATTGCTTTTTTTGCTGCTGCTGCTGCTGCTGCTGCTGCTGCTGCTGCTGCTGCTGCTGATATTAGCTGGAAGGCTTAACACCATATATTCCAGTTTTGGCCACTTGGTAACTTACAGATAACTTTGAACATGCTTAGGAAGGCTAGCTTATGAATTTGTTGGGCCTTGACCACACACAGGTTCCCACACCCCATAGTTGCAGCCGATACTTCACTATGGGGCAGGAATTCAAACTAAACACATAGCCATGGTAAAGGAAAACCAACATCATTTATATATTATATCTATGAAAGGCAGGGATGATTGACGCTAGGCCTTCCAGATGTTGTTGGATCCCAACTCCCATCAGCCCCAGGCAGCCTGGTTAAGTTTGGGGTGATGGAAGTTGCAGCTCAGCAACATCTGAAGGGACCAACATTAGCTACAACTGACACAAGGCCAGTAAGTGGGCTGAGACCTGTGGCCACCATCAGAATTCTCTGCTACATAATGAAGATCACACCAAGTGCAGCTTCTTCAAACATTGTGGCGGCCATAGCAAGAGAGTTTGGAGATATTTCAGAACTTGCCCAGTACAACATCTGGCCCATGGCTGGTGCTCTACAAACTTTACATTAGCCTTTGCCAACCTGATGCCCTCCAGATGTTTTGGACTACAATTCCCACCATATGGTTCCCTGGGAGTGTGCCATGTTGGCATAGGCTCCTTTCCACAGGGGTTAAAGCACTTTCAAAGTTGGAAGTCGCTGACTTGAAGGTTTCTGAGGGACAAAGGAACTCCTGCTTCCCCCACCACCGCCCTTTTCTCACCCAACCCTAATTTTTATTCCAAGCACATCTTTGTGGCCCAGTGCCAAGAGAAAGAGAAAACAAATCTCAGCTGGACAGCAGCCATCCAGACAAACGACCAATAATGGACATGCAGCGCCGTCTGGTTTTATCACCAGCAGCTGATGGCATAAGTCCTTAGTAACTCCTCTTGGCTGCCTTCTCCTTTATTGCATTATTTCTCCCCCATATGGAGAAAGCCAATGTGCACAGCACAAAGAGCTGACTTTTCCATGTGGTGTATTCAGCTCACAGCCACCACACTGAAGGGCATAGGTGCCATCTTTGGCGGGCCCAGATACCCAGCCAGGCAACCCAAAGGCACCCCAAAACATTGCGTGTGCGACATCACATGGCATGACATAGGCACCATCTCCATGGGGCCAACAAATTTCCTGTCCCAGTCACTGCCGTTACACCGGAGAGCCAGCGGAGGCAAGGCAGTGGGCGTCACATGGTGACGCAAGTGACGAAAAGACATCATGTCATGCATGAGCCGCTGGGCACCCACAATCTGGGACCCAAACCTCTGCTGCAGGGGTCACCAATGGAAGATGTAGGAAAGGGCAGAGCTGCCAGCTCAAAACCCTATGGGGCCCTTCCCTTCACCTGTACTCAGCTGAAGGCTCTTTTCCCATACAGCTAACCCCACACCTACAATCAGATGCTGTGCAGGAAACATGGCCTTAGAGTTCCTTATTGTGTGCAAACAACTTTTTTAAAGCTTCCTCAATGATGGCAAGGGTGCCCCTTGCACTCCTTAAATGCAACAAGTCCCATGCTTCTGAAGAAGATAAAAAGGAAACACTTATTCACTTCATGCACAGTTAACTGAGGGAACTCACTGCTACAAGGTGTGGTGATGGTCACTGACTTAGATAGACGTAGTTTAGGCCCCATTACCCTACCAGAAGAGCAGTCAGTAAAAATGACTCAGCTAGTTGTTTTGTGAAAAGTAATCCTTTAGAAGGGACTGGCAATACACCTGTGCTGCAGATTCATTTTTGTTTCAAACTTGTGCCAGAGTTAACACAGAAAGCCTCAGCATTATTTGCAAGAGCTCAAAATCCTGATGTGGAGAGTGCAAATGCCATGCAACTCCGCACATGTGCGCATGCACGCACAGACACAAACACCCTCTTCTGAAACCCACCAAAGGGAAAACTTCGTTTTCGTTTTTTAGAAATCAGGATTATTCCTTTGCAAGACACAAGGGGGCAGGGAAATCACATGACTCACCCACGCAGTCACAAGTCGGGAACTCTGCTTGAGCGCGCTTGGCAGGCGTGTCCAGCAAGCTCTTGGTTGGCGTGTCCAGGTACTTCAAGGGAGATTCCAGAAATCCACTGAGAGTAGGCATGAGCGGCACTTTATCCTTGGTTGGTGTCCCTTCCATGGAAGCGGTATCTGTGTTTTGGTTTTCATCAGAGTAAAAGCACGTGGTGGACACCACGGTAATAGCACCAGAAGATTCGATTTTTATCTGCTTAGGGGACCGAGCTGCAAAAGGGTTTTCAAAAGGCTGCCCAGCCCCTGGCAAGAGGGGTAACGTTTTGTGACCCGCATTGGCAGCACCTGTCAGGGGCAGGGGGCAGTCCTTGCTAGCCGGAGGCTGGAGAGCTGCCTCTAAGCCCACAGTGGGCTCTGGAGAATGGCTCAGAGAAGACAATGGGGGCAGAGGAGAAGGAGGAGGAGGAGGGTGGGAGGCTGAAAGTGGCCCATCCCCAAGGAGCAGTGGGGCAGGAAGCTCAGAATTCTGAAAGCTGAAATTTTCTCCAAACTCCGCTTCAAACTGCTTGATCAGCTCCTCCAGCTTGTCATCCATCGCGATGGAACTGTGGGCGAAGAGAGGGTGGTCTGCGGGGTTTGCAGTCCTGTGGAAGGCTTCCTCGTGCCCATTGCTGCAGGCCACAGAGGATGAGCAAGGGGCAAAGCCAGGCACAGGAGCGGCAAGGGAAGCCGTGTTGCATGCAGAGTTCTCAGGGTAGTAGCAATGGCTCTCCTCCTGGTTGGGACAGCATGTTTCCTGAGTGTTGGGAGCTGGGCTTCTGTTTTCAAGTAACTTCTGCAATGGAGACTGCTCTGCAGGGCTGGCTGGCATGGGAAGAGGGGGCAGGAGCCTGGGAGGGGTGCTGGAGATCAGGAGCTGCTCAGGCGGCATCTCTTTGCTCGGACGCTCTGGAGTGGCAACCGAGCGGAGTCCTTCCAAGCTGATCTGGCTGACAGGGAGGAAGAGGGGCTGAGCATCCTTCTGCTTGGACCTCTTGATCTGGACTTGCTTGCGCAGCGGCTTGGCTGGAGTATTTTTATCAGGCTGGACCTTCTTCTTCCTCTCCTTGACAGGCTTTTCTGATGGCTTTGGTAGTGGTGGTGGCTGGGCCTGGGTGCTGGGAGCCCACCAGTTTGGCATCTGCTCCTGGGGGCTTCCCGGAGGTGTCTTCTGGTCCACAAAAAGGCTGCGCTTATGGTGGAGGTGGTGCTGCAGAGCCTTCTGGGTCTTCTTGTGGAAGCTCGTCTCCTGCAGGAGCTGCGATAGCTGTGGGCTGGAGGAGGCTGCCTTGGGGTAGCTGGGGCTGTCGTCCTTCTGGGCAAATGGCTCCTGCTTTGGCTTGGCAGCTTTGGCTTTGCCAGGCATTGCTTCAGGTCGCTTGAACACGGATTTGATGCAGTCCGTGGCGCTGCCCAGTAGCTGCTCCAGCTCAGCCATGGGATCACTCACCAGTGGAGAAGGAGGGGTGTTGGAATGCAGGCCCCATAGGCTGCTCTTCAGCTTGCCTTCATCACCCCACTGCTCGGGGAACTCCACTTTTTGCGGGGTGGAGGAGTTGGGGAACAGCTCTGATGGCTCCAGATGTCCATTGTTGCGATCAAGGCAATAGGGGGCCATATCCCGAGCAACCTTTGCTCCCTGCTGCCAGGAAGATGGTGCTGATGATGCAGGAGCTTGGAGCAGGTTGTGGCTCATGTATGATTTCGAGGCCTGGCTCTGGTACAGCTCAGCACCGGATTCAGATAGCACCGAGTTGGGGTGGTTGTGTGCCGGGAAACGGGAAGGCTGCTCCAGCTGTTCCTTGGAGATGAATGCCATGGCTTGCAAGGGACTCTGAGGAGGGGGAGGAGTCTCTTGGGCTGGCTCAGGAAGAACAGCCGACAACTGTGTGAGGGCTTCAATAGCAATGGCTGTCTGGAGGCTGATGTTCTTCTCCTTTGCAATATTCAGTGCATTTTCCGTAAGAGGGAGGGCCTCCAGGGAACACGAAGCCTCCTTCTCTTCTGTAGCAGGCATCAGCTTATGATTAGCACCATTGTCTAAGGGGGGTTGGTGTTCCTGGCTGAGAGGCTGTGGGATGCAGCTCTGGTCCTCTCCAGTGGCCAATCTGATCTTCTTCTCAAGCCACTCCAGGTAGTCTGGGCACTCGGGTCCATCGCAGTTGCAGTTGGGTGGTTTGACGCCATGCTTTGCATAATTCAGAGCAGCTTTGAGAGCAGTCAGGTCCTCGTTGCCAGAGCAGGTGCCGGAAAGAGGCACTGCCAGGTCATTGTCTACCCCACTGCTGCGATTCATCTCGGCGTTGAATTTCTCATAGAGCTGCATGCTCAGCAAGGAAGGGGACCGCAGAGGCACCATCCCGTGTGAAGACATGGCTGCTTCTGCCGCTGCTGAGAAATCCACCAAGTTCTGAGCGCCCTCCAAGTTGGCATTGCTGGAGGAGTCTCCCTGGCTTGGGGCAGATGGCAGCCTCTCCCAGTTGGCTTTCTGCTCAGCGCAGGAGCTGTTGAGCCATGCAGGGGTTTCCATCAGCATGGCCCCTCTTCCAGCGGCTTGGGATCCTCCTCCATTGGCCAAGCCAGGCAGATGGTCCTCGCTCAACCTTCTTTCTTCAACATGGCTAAATGGCCCTTCTTCCATTTGGCCTGTTTTGGGTCCATCAACTGAACTGCACTCCAAACCGGTCTGAAACAAGAGAAGAAAAACAGAAATAATGAGTTCTAGCGAAGCAAACAAACCAGAGTCAAGCAGCATCTTGGTGATGTTGATGTTTTTATTTGAACCCCACCCATCTGACTGGGTTGCCCCAAACAGAAAGCTTTGGCAATCCCATCCGCCATAAACTCAATGAGTTTTGACTATACACAATGTTGGCTTTAGGTGTGATCTCCAAACCTTGATGTTGGGAAACCTTGATGCTGGGCACAAGGAGAAGGGGACGACAGAGGACAAGATGGTTGGACAGTGTTCTCGAAGCTAACATGAGTTTGACCAAGCTGCGGGAGGCAGTGGAAGACAGGAGTGCCTGGCGTGCTCTGGTCCATGGGGTCATGAAGAGTCGGACACGACTAAATGACTAAACAACAACAACAACTAAAACGTAACCCCTCTGTAAGTTGTGGGCTTACTGTATGTGCCACTTGGGTTCTCACTCTTCCAACTGGAGCCTCTCAACTAGGAAGAAGGTGGTGCTCTAAATATACAGCCAGAAAATTCAGCACCCAGTGCTTCCCCATCTCACCATTCCAGGAAAGGCCATTGCTGTACATATGGTGCATTCTTCAATTGACATTCATTTCCTTATACGCTATTGCTTTATGCAAGTTGCACTATCCATATGAACACATAGGAGAAAGGCCTGTTATTTTAGTAGTGTTGCCCAATAGAATATATTGACTAAGTATCTCGTTTTAGGGAAACATTTTGATAGTGTTAACTGTATCCCTTAAACAGAGATACTTAGTCAATATATCCTTTAATTCAAGTTAACACAAGCCTTCAAGGCTGCTTCCTTGACCCCTCACAGCCATTCAAAACGGGCCTAAACACCACTGCTACTCTGGTTAAAAACCATTACAATACAAAGACTCCTCTGCAATAAAAGTTTGCAGAATTTGGGACTTTTTAATTTAGAGAAAGTAAGATGTGACATGACAGAAGTTTATAAAATTATTCATGGCATGAAGAAAGTGATAAGAGAAAAGTTTTCTTCCCTCTCTCATAACACTAGTACCTCTGGTACCTCATCCAGAGAAGATGAAGGTTGGAAGCTTCAGGGCAGACAGAAGAAAGTCCTCCTTCACACAGCACAGAGTTAAACTATGGAACTCTCTGACACAGGAGGCAGTGATGGCCACCAAGCAAGACAGCTTTAAAAGAGGATTAGACAAATTCATGGAGGAAAGGGCTACTAATGGTTACAACCATGATAGCTATGCTCTGCCTCTACAGTTGGAAGAAGCAATGCTCATGTGCTTGAATCCTACTTATGGGTTTCCCACAGGCTGGCCACTGTGAGAATAGGGTGCTAGTCTAGATGGTCCACTGTCCTGATGCAGCATATGCTCTTAGGTTCTAAGATATGTTAACTTAAGCAAGTCTATGGACTCTCCATTACAGCCACCTACAATCCCTAAAGCCTGTTCAAAAGGAATAGACCAAACAGGAAGGGAGCAGGAGTAGCATTGTATATAAAGGATGTGTACACTTCTGAAGAAATCCATGACCTGGAGCATGAAAAGCAGATTGAGAGTAAATGGGTAAAAATTGTAGAAGAGAGAAACAACAGTGACCTTACTGTGTGTGTCTGCTATAGACCACCAAGCCATACTGAGCGTATGGAAATGCCATTTACCTTCTTGCCGCGGCGGTACCTATTTATCTACTTGCACTGGTGTGTTTTTGAGCTGCTAGGTTGGCAGGAGCTGGGACAGAGCAATAAGAGCTCACCCCATCATGCAGATTCAAACCATCAACCTTCCGTTCAGCAAGCCCAAGAGGCTCAGTGGTTTAAACCACAGCACCAGTAGGGAGGAACTAACTGATGAAGTGGAAGTGCTGAGAAACTTGGGAGGAGAGATCATGTTCTCCTGGGTTTCAGGAAACAGAGGCAAGGGAAAACTGAGTGTAGTCGGACATGCACTCTGTACTTTAAGAAGGCAAATTTCAAAAAGCTAAAGGAGCTACTGGGTGTGATCCCATGGTCAGAAACACTCAATGAGAAGGAAGTCCAAGAAAGATGGGAGTTTCTAAAAGGAGAAGCCCCAAATGCAGATTATATCAACAAGAAAGAAAAGTGGGAGACATCTAAGGAAACTGGTGTGGCTGCATAAGGAGCTTACAGATGAGCTGGGAGTTAAGAAGGGCATGCATAAGAAATGGAAGAAAAGGGAAATCACAAGGGAGGAGTATACACGAGTAGCCAACAGTTGCAGGGGGGGGGGGGAGTCAGGCTGGCTAAAGCTCAGAATGAGCTCAGGCTTGCAAGAGAGGTTAAAAATAATAATACATTGTTACCCTGGTGGATCACACGCATAACACGAGTCAACAGTGTGATGCAGCAGCAAAAAAAGCTAATGCTATTCTAGGCTGCATCAACAGAAGTCTAGTGTCCAGATCACGGGAAGTAAAAGTACCACTCTATTCTGCCTTAGTCAGACCACACCTGGAATACTGTGTCCAATCCTGGGCACCACAATTTAATAAGATGTTGACAAGCTGGAAGGTGTGCAGAGGAGGGCAACCGAGATAATCAAGGGTCTGGAAACTAAGCCTTATGAGGAGTGCTTGAAGGAGCTGGGTATGTTTAGCCTAGAAAATAGGAGACTGAGAGGAGATACGATAGACATCTTCAAATATCTTAAGGGCTGTCACATGGAGGAGGAAGCATGCTTGTTTTCTCCTGCTCTGGAGGGGAGGACTCGAGGCAATGGCTTCAAGTTGCAAGAAAGGTGATTCCGACTAAACATTCGGAAAAACCTTCTGGCAGTAAGAGCTGTTCAGCAGTGGAAGAGACTCCCACAAGAGGTGGTTGGCTCTCCGTCCTTGGAGGTTTTCAAACAGAGGTTAGATGGCCATCTGTCATGGATGCTTTAGCTAAGATTCCTGCATTGCAGGGAGTTGGACTAGGTGACCCTTGGGTCCCTTCAAACTTGAAGATTCTATGATTCTAAGCCTTCTCTGAAGAGTTGTGGGGTTGAACAATTTGAAATGGGGCATGGGAGCTGCTGGAGGGGAAGTGATAGGAAACTTCCTTTACCAATAATTTTATTTATTACTATCTTTATATCACTATCTCCCTCCATTCGCCTCCCAAATTAGGATTTTTTTCCAATCTGCCTATTATTTATTTTAGCGCTGTGGGTAAAACCTCAGCGCCTAGGACTTGCCGATCGCATGGTCGGCGGTTCGAATCCCCGCGGCGGGGCACGCTCCCGTCGTTCGGTCCCAGCGCCTGCCAACCTAGCAGTTCAAAAGCACCCTTAAGTGCAAGTAGATAAATAGGGACCGCTTACCAGCGGGAAGGTAAATGGCGTTTCCGTGTGCTGTGCTGGCTCGCCAGATGCAGCTTGTCACGCTGGCCACATGACCCGGAAGTGTCTACAGACAGCGCTGGCTCCCGGCCTATAGAGTGAGATGAGCGCACAACCCTAGAGTCTGGCAAGACTGGCCCGTACGGGCAGAGGTACCTTTACCTTTAATGTTTATAAACCACTTTCCCCCACAATGTAGCTCCAAAGCAGTTTCCAACACAATACAACAGTAAATTAAGAAAAAACACAGTTAAAAGCAGTGGTCAAAGCACAACACTTGTGGGTCCAGAATACCAAAGCAAACCTCACCCCACGCCCTCCAAAACCTGGGTATTTATTTGCAGAGGTTTGTTTTGATTAGGTGCCAGAAGCCCATCTGTGATGTGACCATCTGTGCCTCTAGGGGGTGGGAGTTCCACAGCTGGGGAAGAATTAAGGAGAAGGGCCTATCCTGCACCCACACACAGCAAGCAACACTTGCTGGTGTGCAAAGAGAAGGGCCCCTCTGCTGAAGTGAGAGCCTTAGGAACATAGGAAGCTGCCTTATACTGAACACAACCATTGGCCCAGCAAGCTCAGTCTTGTCTGCACTGATTGGAAGTGGCTCTCCAAGATCCCAGGCAGGGAATGTTTCCTATCTGGAGAACCCAGAGATTGAACTTGGTGTCTTCTGCATGCAAAGCACATGCTCTACCAATGAGTCATGGCTGTTCCCATTACTGGACTGGTCAGTATGGGAAGAGGCACTCCATCAAGTACTTGGGTCCCAAATCATTCAGGATTTGTAAGTTTATATTATATATTACATTTTTATACCACCATTTCTTCCAAGGAGTTCTCCTCCTCCCCATTTCATCCTCACAGCCCTGAGAGGTAGATTAGGCTGAGAGACAGTGACTGCCTAAGGTCACCCAGTGAGCTTCATGGCCCAGTGGGGATTTGAACCCTGGTCTCCCAGGTCATAGCCCAACACTCTAGCTGTTGCACCACACTGGCTCTCATTAAGCCAACATTAACACATTAACTTGGGCCCAGTAACTTCTAGGCAGCCACAGAAGAGAGTTACGTATCAGAGTGCTGAAACTGTGTGCCCAGGACCTGAAAAATCCTCCGTCTGGGAGTTCTAACTCAGTATGGGAAAGCTCTCCAAAGATTGCAAGATTTCCCACTGTTATTTCACTCTCCTGTGCTGCTGCTGCTGCTGCTGCTGCTGTCGCCACTGTAGGCCAGAAGCCTGTTAAGCGACTTGTGCTCTGCACTGACAAGCCAGTGGAGTGGGCAAGCTCCAACAAGCCTCTTCTTGGAGAAGCTGCCTGTGGTTGTCTTGTAAACCAGTCTTTTGCTACCCTGCACATAAACCCACTCACAGGTGTGCAAGCACACACACACCCTGCACACGCACACCCTCTGTGAGCTCTTGCCAATGTGAAGCGCAGCCCTGCTCAGAGAGCAGATAAGGCAGGTCTGGAAGCTGCCTGGGCTCCGTCCAAGTCGGTCAAGGATACAGCAGCTGTTCAACCCTCCTCTCGCAAAGGCTGCTCAGCATTCCTGAAACAAGCAGGGCTGCCAGTGTTTACTGGGGTAGCTTGTGCACAGGCAGGAAGGGGGGGTTGTGGCTACTTCTGGTTGACCACAACACTGGCTGTGTCTGTC